AAAAAAAAAAAAAAAAAAAAAAAAAAAGAAACGGCAGTAATTGCGTGAATATCAGGATTCATTTATTGCGAAATTATCAGCAAATTATCGTTGGACCCGTGACAAAATTCCTTCTCTTTAATTTCAATTTTCCTTCTTCGTTAAATATTTACTTGCCGCTTGAAGTTTGATTTTCGATAAAATTTGATTTCTGATCAATCGTTTCCACGTTCGTCCATGATCGAGAGGAGCGATCGCTCCAAATGGTAGACGTTCGTTCCATTTTTTTACTAGCTTGTCCGCCGTCATCGTCAACGATCATCGTCGTGCAATTTCAAGAAAGTGTCCTAAATCTAAGCACCGCTACTATAAAGAGGTAAGACGGCGCTTTCGATTTGTGTTCAAGCTAGCGATACCCCCTCTCCTCACGATCGTGTGTTTCTATTTATCCTCCTACGACCGGATAATTGTAATCTCGCTTATCGCTGATTTTCACATGGGATTATGCATGGCACAAGCTTTATTGATTTTTTTTTTTCAATCTCCTAGTTTCGTGTCGATCTTCCGTTTCTCGTATCAACGCACAAGCCCCTTTGTTTTTCCCCTTTGTCAAAAGTGGATTTCAATCACGTTGAACAGATCGAAAGTTGATATGCGAATACCTTTTGTGTACGTAGAATTTATGCACATTCATTTTGTTATTATTTCTTTGATCTATGAATGTATTATGTATGTGATGCGTTCCTGGGAGGAAGTTTTCTTTGAAAACGAAAGATTTCAAAACGTTTTTTATTTATTCTCAAATACATCTGCGTCTGAGCGAAAATTTTTTACCGGGAGTAAAATATAATTACAATATATATTACATATTAAAATATAATTACAATATATATTAAATATTAAAATATAATTACAATATATATTAAGTATTAAAATATAATTACAATATATATTACGGGTGTAAAATATATATTACATTATTATACGTTAACACACGGTTATATTCTTTGTCACAATTAGACTGTGGACTTTTATGCATAGACGAGAGATTAGAAAGTGCAAAAATATATACAATATTTATTACAATATTAATTAATATTTATTGCATTATTAATTTGCAATTACTGAAAATATTTATTACAATATCTATATATTACCATTATCTTTGTAGAAGTCCCAGCCTCAGTCTAATTATAAAACGTCATTAGATAAATCTTGCAAATCGAAATAAGTTTCCTCTGCAATTTGAAATGTTTCCACTTTGCCCAAGCCGATAAAGTATCGGGTCTCTCTGAAATCATCTGGAAAGCAATTCAATACGTCGATAATCAGCTTCTGAAATTACCAAAGACGTTCTTCTTCTCATTGACCTAAGCGTTAAACTCTTCGCTATAAATTCGCCGATCTTTGCACTTTGAAATAATTATCTCCTACGTGGCACAGTTCCAAATAGTCGTAAATCGGTAGTGTCTCGTGACAATATCTTTATCACAGCATCCACGTCAGTACGAACCAGATAATTTTTAACCTCTCGCGTTGTTTTAAATCAGTTGCTCCTTGATTTGGGGGAAATCAATTACGAAAACTTTGGACGTATTTACATTCGCAAGTTCTGTTTCTTCGATACTTTCGTTGCGATTCGATTCTTTCGTAAGAGGAGACAAATGGAATTAGTGTGATCGATTGCCGGCCTTTAAACAGCTTTGAGCCATTTTTTTTTTCATACTTTATCTTGATATTCGATATCGAGAGTTCTCTCATTCCTTTGGAATTCTATTTAATATTTAACATTTTATCAGAAAGATTGCGAACTCGTATTTGTGGAACTACGATTGCTTTTCTTGTCAATGTTCTCCTATTCTTCTCTTTAATTTCAAAGAGAGTGAAAAGTCTACGTAATTTCGTGAAATAATTAAATAATTTTCGTCGAGAAAGTTATTGAAAACATTTCAATACGATAAATTTCACGGAGTTTACTTTACTACTGTACAGCTATGATTGCTTTTAAAAGTTTGGACCCTTACTTTCATTTTTTATTTTTACAATTTCTCTCTCTCTCTCTCACACACACACACGCACACACACAAACACACACAGAAGGCAATTCTCTTAAGCTATTTATCTCGAGTCGGATCATTTCCTAAAAGACTATGACGATGTTTTAGAGGAATTAAAATGTGTCTTTTCAGATATTCTTGAATACGAGTATTAGTTTCTCATTGAAAGCTTTTCGAGAAAAGCTCCTCTTCATCGATCGGATTAATATTATATTCGTTGGGACTGGCATTTCAACATTGAACTTTAACAGCTAATCGAGAACAGAAATGGGGACTAGCGAACATAGTCGTGTCGCCGTACAGTTAGATTTAGATAAACGTTATCATTATTCCCGAAAGATCTTATCGCTGTTTGTTCACGATTTGTCAGACGACAGTAATAACATGTGACATCGTATTTGCACGAGAATTTACGAAATAGCTAACTGCATGGAGTACAATCGCTTCTCGTCACTGGTGCATGCATCGCAGTTTTGTATACGATGAAAAATATGTTTCAATCGACTATACAAATCTTTGTTTTGCCAATAGTGACGCAAAATTTCATTTTATTTCTTTCTTCGTATTTATGTTTCTAACCATTTATTCTGACACATTACGTTCAGAAGATTTTTAAATTTATGTTATTTCAAGTTAATGTCTGTTGTTTGATATGCAGTTTGTATGTTTCTCTCAATTATTGGTTTTAACGCGATGTAGAACGACTTGTCGTTTTACGTGTGCGTCTTTGCACGGATTTCACGATAGTTATGCATGAACGCTGGGTGCATCGGAGTCTATCGGACATGAAAAACAAAAAAAAAAAAAAAAAAAAAAAAAAAAAAAGATAGACGAGGTCTGTAGAATGCAAAATAATCTTTCATTCGAAACCGCAGTTACATCTCTCAAGTTGTTGCTCGAAATCCAGTGTTTCTCAAGCTTCATTTTACAATTGCCCTTATTAACATCTTCGCGATACTGATCGAAAAATATTGCGTAAATATTTAAAAAGAATTTGAAGCTGCATGTCCGTGTATTCAATTGAGAATTAATTTTCTACTGAGAACCAGTAGAAAATTGTTTCTAAAATTTTGGTATTCTAAGCTAACATTAGAAAACATTGAAACGTTAGTCTAAGACATAATATAAATTGAAAATTCATAAAAATCATGGACATTGTTGGATAATAAAATATTGTTCGTGGCTTGTTCAAAAAGTGTAAATAATATAAATATAACAGTTTATCATTTAACGTGATATTCATTTTCGTATTATCGAACATTGATAAACTTCATTGAATCAGTCGACTATTTTCAAGCGCTATTACTTTACGAAAGATATTTTAAAAATATCTCACATATAATCAGTAATCAAAATCATCGTACACCGTTTTGACATAACATAAAATAGAATTGTTTGAGATTGATTATTAATCCTAGAGATTAGATTAATCTAAAGATTAATCGAATCTCACGTACCTATCTCACGTTCAATTATTCGACGCAAAGTTCAAGATAGAATTTTAAGATATAAGTCGAAGCTTAAGTAAACCGTTTTTCTTCACGTGTCATTAAGATATTTTCTCAATCTCTCGTTATTATGCTAAAACAGCTTCTCGAAATACTCAATAAAATATACAAAAAAAAAAAAAAAAAGTTCAAGATCAAACGCGTACGAAACGTAACGAAATCGTACGCGCAAAAGTTCAAGATCGGCTTCAAAGATTCGCGGAGTTTCGGAGCGGCGGCTTGAAACGAATCGGCTTATCTCGCTCTATCGATGGCACAGTCGCGAAAGTTTGAGAAACGCTGGTCCGCGGGCGTGTAGCACGCCGGTGTGTTGATTTGCATAGAATGTGGCGTTGCAAAATTCGTGTGGCGGTGTGCTTAGCCGCAAAGCCCCTCCGGGTCCCGTACGGCAGAAGCAATAACGCTGAGCAACGTCTCTTCAGGAACCGATCGTTATCGAGAAAGCGGACGACGAGGAGGCCGCGGCGATTTGCCAGCCGAGCCCGAAGCCAGTCGAACACGAAGAGCACGAGGAAAAGGAAGCGACGATGAACGGGAAGATCGAGCCACCGGCACGAAACGCCATCGAGGAGTCGATCGACGTGCACGATGCACCTGAGACCGAGCAGCCGGCCGCCAGCGTCCCTGTGGCTGAAAGACCGACGACCTTGACCCTCTGCAAACAGGAAATCACCAAGGTGGACACGATGAGCCTGCTTAGCCCCGTATCACCCATCTCTAAACAGGTAAACGAACGCCCCGATATATATATTCTTACTAGTTTACTCTCGTTTCGGTGATCCGAATCGATTCGACATTGCGGATTTGTACAAAGTATTATTTCTTTATCTTTGAGTTATGTAGTGAGCTAGTTTTCTCAACTTTTTTTCTTTTTTTTTTTTTTAAATTAGTAACGTTGGATATTTAATTTTTTTTAGATATCGTAGACTGTTTTAATTTTTTTGTAGTATCTTGTACTTTTTCAGGACACGCACAGTGTCCTTTAATTGCATTTGGAATTTTTTATTACTAACAGGTACAAAGCAAGGACGATTGAACTTGGTTTTGTTTAATTTGCGAGATGCATGATAATTGAAAAATCCCTTTTACTGTGTCGATAGCTGAAAACCGAGAACGGGGAAACATAACGAGTACAATTTTGTTGGTTTTTTTTTCTGATTTTAAATTTGTTTAATTTAATGCAGTTTTCTGTAATAAAATTACAGGTGCATCTAACGTCAAAAATACCACAATGAACACTTTTCAGATCGATATTTCTGATTTAAATATTTTTCAGGGATGTTACTCGATTAAAATTAATTAAGACACACATACAGTCGTAGTAATATTTAATTGGACTTTATTCCTGACAGATTTTGCCACTGAATTTATCGAGCGACGAGGAAATAGTAGCCGGCCTGGCATTTCCTCTGGGACCACCGACCAGCGTGGAACCTCCAAAAGAGAAACCACCGCCGCCCCCGGTGGACATCAGCGACGAGGAAAATCTTCCAGTGGAACCTCTGAAGAGGTTGAACTCCACTCGCAGAATAAAGAAGGAATTACGTTCAAGGCGCTCCGATTTCCTTGGAATCGAAGGGGTACGTTGCGTTTTTTCGCGTACGAAACGAAATCGTTACCGATCTTTTCGAAGTACATTGAAATACATTGAAATACATACATTCGATCCGAAAAAAAAAAGAAAACACGCGAGACGAGACTTCTTTCGAAGACTTCTTTCCACGTCAGGCTACGATGTCGACGCTACACGCGTATCCTAACTTTCGTTTCTTCTCACGGTTTTTCCACCTCCTTCTCGATGGCTTTCACTTGTTTCCGGAAGCTGATGTGTTCCACGAACGTTGGCGCACCCGCGTTTAACGTTGCGAAAGATCATATCGCGGCCGTAACATCGTTTAATGATATTAATTGGAGCACGTGAATGGATTTACGTAACTCACGGTCGCAATTATGCATGTCGGTCCTGATGAGATTCGCATGCTCGTTCGTCGACCGCGACGAACCGTTCAGTTCTCGCGAACTGGCCCTCTCGATGGTTTCGACTCTCTCTTGTTCAATGGAAAATTGAATCTTTGAACAATCAGTTTTTGAAATTTAATTTTTTAATATTAAAAAATTTTTCTCTTCGTTCATAAATTCTTTTTATCGTTCATTTAATCGACACGATTGTTACGTGACTATTATAATTAAAGTAAGAATTATATTCAAAATGAAAAAGAAATGATTGAAAATCTCGAAATCTTCCTTCCACATTAATTCCTTTTGATTTGTTTATTTATTATTTTTGATTTTCCTTTACTGTAATTTATTTATCAATTTCTTTCTTCTAGTTTAGACCTTGATAATTGTTAATATCTATAATTACGTGGGAATAATTTGTCAGTAATTCAAGCTTAGTATTCTCCGACGCAGTTGAAAGAAACTTGACAATTCTCCTAACTACGAAAGAAATTCTAATCCAATCTACTCTAAAATTTTGAATTTTCTTTACTGTAATTTATTTATCAATTTCTTTCTTCTAGTTTAGCCCTTGATAATTGTTAATATCTATAATTACGTGGAAATAATTTGTCACCGACACAATTGAAGGAAACTTGACAATTCTCCTAACTACAAAAGAAATTCTGATCCAATCTACTCTAAAATTTTGAATTTTCTTTACTGTAGTTTATTTATCAATTTCTTTCTTCTAGGTTAAACCTTGATAATTGTTAATATCTATAATTACGTGGGAATAATTTGTCAATAATTCAAGCTTACTTATTCTCCGACACAATTGAAGGAAACTTGACAATTCTCCTAACTATGAAAAAAATTCTGATTCAATCTATTTTAAAAGTCTGAATCTATTTTCAACAGGTAAACGATGACGAATTGGAGCGCGAGTTGACCCTAACGAAACCGCCAGATATGGCTGCGATTCTGGCCGAAGAAAGACGCATCGAGCAGCTTCATCGTCGCTCGTACGACACGGACAGCAACTACGAGCAAGACTCCAGTCACGAAAGAGATTCAGGAGTGGAGTTGGGCCACGTCGAGGACTGGACGAAGCAGCCGGTCAGTCCAGACATGTCTCAACACAGTCGTCAAAGCAGCGAGCCATTCGGCGCCAGCGTGACGTCTTCGGAAGAAGATGAGATTACGAAGAAGGAAAGGGAGATCATCGAGGTCCTCGAGAAAGAGGAACAGTGGCGGTACGGCAACAATCGTGAGCTGAACAGGTAGGAGGGAATTGTCTAGGGAAATTGGTGGAGAATGTTGGGTGTATTGCAACCAAGAAGGGTGTTAGAGTAAAATCGATTGTGGTAGACAAATTTGTAAATTTTTCCTCCCCCTCCTCTTTTACTTCGAGTATTTACCGGCTTGATTTTAACGCTCGTCTCTAAATTTTATCGGCTTTCTCTATACGTATAATTTTAAGTAGAATGGATGTTCTCACTTTTATTGAATTTTACCGGAACGCTTGAGGTTTCCTTTTTTCTTTTAACGTCTCTGTTGAATGTTTGCACGAAGATATTCTTGTTGTAATCTTTTCTTATCGCTGGAAGCATGCCAGTGGAACCGAATACGCCAATGTTGCTTAGTGTATAGGGTACTGTTAGTATTTATTTTTTTATCAATTACAAGGGAAATTTTCTGTAAGATTTTATACACTGCACGAGCGTCTTTGTTGATCACTACGACGCACGATGGCGCATGAACGAAATTTGGTAGCCCCAATGGTTTAATTTGAAAGGCAGAATTCGCAAATGTAACGATTTACTATCTCGTCAGAATTTTCTTAAAATTCTGTCCGATGGATTTTCGAGGCCAGTGAATTTTAATTGTATCACAATCTAAACTAAGACGATTAATTTTTCACTCTTCGATTGATTTTTAACATATTCACTAAAAAAAAAAAAAAAAAAGATTTCAGTCGCCAACTATTTCAATATTCTACTACTAAATTCTTAGGCCAACGTACGGCGTACCAATATATCTAAGCGTGTCTTGTGTATATATATATAATGGAACTACAATATAATAAACTTGTGTATCTCGGGATCAATGTACAAAACGGTGATGAATAAAATAAAAACACTTTCATGCTGAACACAATGATGGTCTTTTCCTAGTGCTTGACTTATCTGCTCTGTCGCTATATCCTGTACGACTCTCTTTCTCTCTCTCTCTCTCTCTCTGTACAAGTAGACACAAAAAGCATGAACACAAGGTCGACTTAAGCTTAAAGTCCAGTAACCGAGAAATTCATGACGACACACAGTGACTTGGGCGAGAAATTGGCGCACAAGCTGCGCGAGCTCGAGGAAGAGAAGATGCAGTTGGAGCGGGAACGCGCCCAGGAAGCGGTTTTACGTCGGCAGGAGGAAACGCTGCGGAAGAACGAGGACAACATACGAAAGCAGGAAGAGACGTTGCGGAAGCAACAGCAGGAAGAGACGGCCAGGCAGCAGGAAGCGGCGCGTGCCGAGGCAGAGGCGAAACACGCTGAGGAGAAGAGGCAAGAAGAGGAGCTGAGGGCGCAGGCGGAACAGCTGAGGATTCAGAACGAGATTGAAGAAGAAAGGAGGGTGGCCGATGCTCGTCGCATCGAAGAGAAACGTATTAGGGCCATGGAGAGTCAAATTCGAGAACAGGAGGTATGAACCTTTTAGTTTCTTCTTTCTTTTTCCTTTTTTTTTTTTTTTTTTTCTCAGTTTTTATACATATATTCCTGTATTTTTTTATCGTGTGGGTGCGGATGCTTTGGAACACTGTGTCGAGTTTGGGTTAGGTTTGTGGCAGGAGGCATTGATACTTTCAGTTTTCAAATGTCGAAGAGTAGCTTGCAATAATTTTTGAGTGTTGAAATCTTGTCTGACTCGAGCAGGAAAAGGAAGATTGAAAGAGAAGATGAAATATTACGAGTAATAAATTGTTTGCTGTTTTTAATCGATTAATATTTTGTTGCTAGAAACTGTGACGTTTCAGTCGGATGAGCTGTTTAGTGAATTAAAATGTTTGGAATTGAATGATTTCGACACACATTTCTGTTCGAATTAGAATAGATCTCCATTTTTAAATCATAGACCTACATTTGAGAAGAACGATATTTCTTATCGAAAAAGAAAATATTTTTCATTGTAAAGAAAGGCCAACTATTCTCATAAAATCACTAAGTAATTGCATGCTGTAAATTAAGTACATCGCACTGTAAACGTTAACGGGAGTATCGTTGATAATGATTCGCAGAACACGTCGTTGGTTGGTGCTGGTTTGAACGATGAAGAAGACGAGTTTGCTTCCGGGGTAAGGGAAACAGTATCTTTCGTAACTTTCGCCGTATTCTCTCGATGCTTGCTTCTAACAGAAAAGAAGAAAAGAAAAGAAAAGAAAAAAACGAGGCAAAAAATTACAGATTTGATTTTTCAAGCTTCACGAAGCAAAAGCATAGCAAAGAAATAGAACTCTGTTGAAATAGAATAGAGAAAAAAATTTTTCTTTGATCGAAACGATTGAAGTAATAATTAATCGCAGTCGTAATTCGTGTCTGAACAGGAAGTCCTGAGAGTGGAAAGGGAATTGCTGCAGCTAGAACAGGAAGAATTGAAGCGCCAGCGAAACAATTTGGCGTATCGCGAGCAAAAGCAGCTGAAATTGGCAGAACAGTTGCAGGAACAGTGGAAATCCTTGCAAGACGTTGCGCATACATCTGCGAGTAACATTCAACAGTTCAAGAGCCAACCGCCAGTGAATTACAGATCGTCGATGCCGAATCTTCAGCTTCAGGACGTGCAAAGAAGAAGACCACCACCTCCTCCCATACCGCCGGCTAAACCGCTTCGTTTGATTGAACAGAGGCAACGAGACGTTACCATCAGGTAAATGTCATTTGTAATACGATTCTAATATGTTAAATTGTTTTCGTTAAAAATGGCTGGTGAAATGTATTATTGTGTAAATTTTTAAATTTTAAATTTTAAAATTATTGATAAAGTGTATTATTACGTAATGTATTGTTAAAATTTTTAATTTTGAAATTATTGATAAAATGTATTATTATGTAATGTATTATTAAAATTTTTAATTTTTAAATTATCGATAAAATGTCCTGTTATGTAAAATATTTTATAATTTTAAATTTTAAAATTATTGATAAAGTGTATTATTGTGTAAAACATTTTGAAATTTTAAAATTATTGATAAAATTTGAAACCGGTCAGTCAGAAAATGTCTGTAAAACATTATGAGATTTTTACTGAGAAAACTCGAGATGACAAAAAATACTCGCAATATACTCGTGTTATTATATATTATTTTTAAAGACGGTTATGTCGTGTTAGATTTGCAAGAATTTTACGTAAAAGGGACGCGGTTCGAGGTAGTCCATCGAATTGCGACAGTACAGTGTTACGTGGATGCTTCAAACAAACGCTGGTCAACAGGAAATGCAAATTAAAGACAGAATATAGCACTAGGAATCGTGTCATTTAATTTCCTGCAGAAACTTTCCGCTTTGTTGCGTCTGATGTAACGTTTTCCGTCTGGACGACACGTCGTTGCAATCCCTGAATGCGGAGCAGTCATTCGTAATCTTTGGTCAGTGGATATCGCTCGTGTTTAACATTCTTTCACAATGAACCGTCAGAAATCACGAAAAATCCAACGAAAACTGAACAAATTAATATTTGCCGTCAAAATAGTACTTTGAATAGAATTCTATGTAACGAAATGCGAGGATGAAAATGAAGATAGCTTAGGTGGATAACTTTGTGAAAAATGCGCAGGAGCAGCAGAATTCCCTCGGCAGATTCGATTCCGCAGCAAGTGGACGCTTCTTTGCGGCACAGTACGTCGGTTACGACGCTGAGCCACGCTGGTCAACAGATGAGCAGGCAAACGTTGCAAGCCCTAAGTGCAGTTCCTCGGCCGCGGATCGTTCAGAGCGATCAGTGGGTCCAACGAAGGAAGAGCGACGTGCCACGAGGCGCTCACGATTTGAACTACCAGCACTGGCTCATTCAGGTAACATGTTTCCTTGGATACATCTCTCGAAAGACGATTAAAATATAATACTTATATAATTTTAAATATATACAACGCTATATAATTAATTTTCTTGTAATTTTTATCGAATTTAAGGGGATATTGACTCCTGTTGAAACGAATCTCGGTCATTGCAATGTTAATATATTAACCCTCTTGTACTGGCAACTGGTTCGCGGACCGTAACGAGTGACCAAACCGTATACAATAATTCGTCGTTTTTTTTTTTTCTTTTGAATTCGTCGGTACGATGTTACTGGGTAGAAATTATTAGGAAGCAATAAACTTATCATTTGTTTTGCCTGAGTTACATTTAAATATACTTAAAACTGTGAAAATGTAATTTGGGACAAAAGGATGTGGGCGTCATTCCAGCGCAAGAGGTTAATATTCAAATGAGTTTATATTTGTCCGATTCTTTGGCTTTTATTGTACTTGACGGCTGGGGACAAGAATTTAGTAACGGAGTAATTGAAAATCTGTACAAATGTACAGAAGTGTAAGGAAATTATATTTACACACGGGAGTAAAGTGATAAATCAATTCTTGTCGATTTTCTTATTCTTGTATTGCTTGGTAGCCAAAAGCCATTAGTCCCAATAGAATTGTAGGAACGAAATAAAGGACATTTTATTTTTATGTGGTTTAAGTAAAACTAGAACGTTTATTAAAATGGAAATTGATGAGAAATAAAAGTTTTAAGACGTTAACAAGGAAGATTGAAGCTCAACACGACCTCGCAATTCTCTATGTCTTCACTCTTAAACGTCTCGATACTCTCTGTCTAATTCCTTCATGATTTGTCTGCTCGAAACTTTCGTCACTCGTCCACTCACGCACACAAACACAACCATACCCTTAATATTTTAAATTCTAGATCTGGGTGGCTAAAACAAACATTACCAAGCCTAGCTTTCGCTATAATTATAGATGACACTCAGAGAGCGACGTTCGTTGGGCACTGGAGAAAGTTCCGGGCCCTTTCCCAGAATTTCCCCGTCCCACAGAATATCCTGAATGATTCGAATAGAACCGAGAAAATAGCGTGTTTCACTGACATTTCGAATATGATGTGCACAGGAAGCGGAGCAGAGAAGGATTAGCGAGAAGAATCAGCGATCGCCAGCGCGGAAATCACAAATGCACGTAACAGGAACGTCGGTTCCATACGCTACGGCTCCTACGAGGTCGGACAGTAAACCGTTGCCTGACTCTATCATACAGACTCTCACGCAAAGAGTACAGAACAGAGCGCAGGAGAAGCCACTACCACCGAGGAGAAGGTCGATATATAAATTAGAGACAATTCATGTACAGGCATCGTCTGTTTTAAGAAGTGTTTATCTTCAACTTATTTGGGATTTTTACAGATTGGAGCACAGTACCAGCCAGGAACATCTCTCTGCGTTGCAGCATCAACCGCAGCAACACGTTATGCAGCCGCAGAAACCTCAACAACCACCTGCGATGAATAGTGAGAATCAGGAGAAAATGCTGAGTGTCAGTGGGAAAAAGAAGTGCTCGCATTGTGGAGATGAATTAGGTAGGCCAGAGGAGAGCAATTGGAGCCACTTTTCAGTTTCATTAAATTTAATTAAATTTCTTGAAGAATTATTTAAAAGTGGAGACAGAGATTTTCTTGCTTGAAAATTTTACAGAGTCAAATGATTATTGAACTTTTTCTTTTCTTGCAATTTGAATCAGTACGAACATAAAAATTGAAGAGCTTCTGAAAGTTACTATACGATCTTTTTTGTATTCTTTGTTCAACTTTAAATTAGGATAATGTGTCGTTAGAATATTTCGAATTTCTTAAATTTTTATTATGACACATCATAAATCTTAGTACTCTAAATAAAATGAACGTTAATTAGTGATGTGCTTGATTTTGCAAATTCTTACTCAGTTTAAAATCGTCCTCCACGCTAAATTAAATTGCTTTGAACGTGGAATGAGGTGGCTAATTTTGGATTACCAGGTCGAGGCGCCGCGATGATCATCGAAAGTTTGCGGCTGTTCTATCACATGGAATGTTTCAAATGCTGCGTGTGTCATGTTCGGCTCGGTGATGGATTAATGGGAACAGACGTGCGCGTTAGGAATCAAAAGCTTCACTGCCATAACTGCTACTCCAGTGACGACGGTATCCGCATTTAGCTTGACGTTATTTATATCTGTGATTAAAATTAGTTGAACGTCAATGATTTCCAGGCAACGATTTTCCTCCCCGTTGATCGGGATATAATAAAACAAAATTTTAATTTCACAGAGACTGCATTCGTAACTTTGAAAAACGAGAAAGTACATTTAACGAAAATTTGTAAAGTTTGAAAAAAAACAAAAAAACGATGCTATACTCGAATGTTTAATTCTTCGTTATAATTTTTATTTGTGAAAATGATGTTTTAGATGCGACCTCAATTTTTCTTCATTCTAAAGTATGTAATTACATGCTGATCATCAAATTCTTATAAAAAAAAAAAAATTATTTCTTTTGTAGCGTTTAACTCTTTCCAATACGCTCTTTTAAAATAAAAATTATGATGTTTCAGGTGTCAAGTTCAGTTGCGTGTGAAACCAAAATAGACCGGGGGCTAATGGGACCACATTGACTAACTTGAATATAGCATCACACGGCTATATTTTATAAGTTGTAGTTTAACCGCTTAGCTACCGGCGACACGCGACCGCGACACCAACGAAAACTATACCCCTTTTTTTTTCTGTACATAAAACTCTGGACGTGGTGTCCTCGTCTTGCGTGAGCTATTCCCTCGTGCCTCCTTAATTTAAAAGATACAACGTGGAATCAAGATTTCATTTTCACATAACGCCGATTTCTTTTCAATCGACTAACCGTGCAGGTAGCAACGTGTAAATAAACGTGTATTTATGTAATTAGCATAACGATAGGGAAAAGAATCCAATGAAATGGGAAATTGCAAAAGATATGATGGTAGCTATATCGATACATTGAGAAAACGTAATGTGACGATTTTTAACGCGTGGATTTACAATCGAGGAATGATTTGCATGTATATTTTTGTAATATAATTACTCCGTGTGGTATTTATGAGAGAAAAAAAATCCCTTTGATGTGTGACGGCTATAATAACGAAACCTTCTCCTGCCCATTCTCCTAATTCCTGTTTCATTCTTTCTCTCTTTAATTTTCCTTCTTCCAAATGCTTGCGAATCAATGGACGATTTCAATCAAATCGAATCGCCTCTGCGTTTCGCGAGCGATCGTTTAGATTCTAGTTGATTATTATAGATAGTACAGTTGGTTAACTGTAGAACTGCATGACAAGATGCGATTTCAAGGCTCGACTTTTGCGCTTCGTCCTTTTCCCTTCACCCTGTGTCGAAATAAAAGGAACAAAAGAGAAATATGAAGAATGTTAGATACGTCGCGCGATCCGACAACGATGACTTTTCTTCGTTGTCTCTTTTATCAATCTTTTATCGTCGTATCGCATTGAACACGCATACTTGCTGTTGTGAAATATTGTATGATATGTGTCACGTGTTATTACAAACATGTAATTTTATATTATCGAGAATAAATGTTTATTATAGCGATCAAATTGCTTGCACTGTCTCGATTTCCTGTTGAATTAATTCCACTGAATTAATTACACGGTGGTTTAACCGTCTGATTGCGGCGAATGAAAAGGCGAGCTCTTCCACAGTGGAAACTATCAATGATTCGTCGCCAGGATATATTTAGAGCCTTTGATGCTCGTAAAAGAACGAACAGAGAATCTCGCTAAGCAGATAAAAAGAGTCTGATGACGTCGAAAAGTAAGAAGTTAAAGGTCGTCGAACGTTCTAGCTTCTGGCGAACTCTATATTTATTAAACATTCTCGCTGCTGTTTTTATCACGGAGCAATTGCACCAACAAAGTCAAATAGAATAATAGGAAATAATTCAAATAGAATAAGAGTAATATCAAACAATTTGTTTATTCAAGATTAATAATCTGTTTTCATTTACAGTAGAGTAATTAAATAATGGGTAATTAAAAATACGCTCTAGCTCATAAGAACTATATTTTATAACTGTACAAAGATTTCAAGACTATCGTAAAAATGTTGGTACAATTTCTGGACAACTTTTAGGTATTGTAAATCGTATATGCTAAATTTATTTTTCACCCTATTTTTACATTTACGTTTTAAAGTCTAAGCAAGAGACAGGAGGATCGAATTTATTGTAGTAAATAAATTTCGGCGCTGATTCCTTGCTAGAATCTTATCTGAACTCGCAGAACAACAGACAAACAGTAAGAAACAGTTCCTAGAAACCTCACCTCTCAGATCCTTATCTAACAGTACGTACATGTTTTACAGAAAAATGTTCCAAGGATCCTTGACACTTTCCATTCGACGAACTTTCACTCGACTCTCCCACACGTGTTGAAACACACACGAAACGCCATCAATAGCATCACCATGGGAATCAGAGTCACAGAATTCACGTGTGCTACGCTACAAACAAAATAACAGTGTAACATAGCTTGGATATCCGTTCTGGCCCACCCTGTTTCCTTCGAGGCAATTAATTCTAGGCCGAGTTGCGTAACGTGCCAGTGAAAAACCAAAGCGGTCAAAGGGAGACGAGCCGGTGGCTGGAAACTGCGTTGCAGCTCGTCACGGTGAATTGAATTACTCAGTCACCTCTCAACACGCTTTATCAGTTTCAGTAATTCGAGCAACGTCCCTCTATTAATAGGCGAGCCGGCGCGCGTGCATCGTACGGGGATGAATCGCGACAACGTGACACCGCGTTTCTGCGATTTTGATAAATCGCACGTCATGTTCCCGGTCGTGTTACAACGGACAGACAATCAAAAGTGGACAGTTGAAGGTTTGTCATATAGATAATAGCGTCTGTCGATGATAGTTTCGTTCTATAAGATTTGAAACGAAGGGAAAAATTTGATAACGTATTTTTAGTTGAGCACTAAGAAATTGCGAGACAAAGGGTTGTTGAAATTAGATTAGATTCTTTTGTCAAAATCTTCTATAACGTGGTGCGATTCAAAAATTGTATATTCATAGAACATATTTCGATTTCGAGGCAGTGATCTTATAAATATTTCGAACTCTTCAAATGTTGTTTTTCATTCTTATGTGAAAAAGTTATTTCGACTGGAACTTCGCATAACTCTTTTATTTTTATCAGTTTTATGATCGAAAATTCAAAGCGAAAAGTTTCGAAACGTCTGACTCGTGTTTCGAATGATCTAGAAATTCCGATCCAGAGGAAAAAGATTCAGGATGATCGTGAGATTTAAAGAAATATTTTATAAAAGATGTTCAATTCAAGAAAGTTATAACGAAATTGGTGGACGAATTTATTTGTCGAAAATTCAAATACGAGTCAAGGATAATTAAATAAAAGTTTAAATTTCAATTCTATTCTTATTTCTAAAAATCTAAAAATTTAAATTTTATCTTGCTGGTACCGTTATGGGGTACCTGCGTGTAAAATACGCGTGTCTTTCTCAATTCGTTAAACACGGACAATACGAACCATCGAATTGGAGCGTAGCAGTTCTAACTACCTAGATATTTGCCGACCATAAAATTATTTACTCGTTGAATGGATAATTGATTCGACGTAATTACCTCACGCAACCGTAAATCACTCGAGTTCTTCCCGGTAACCCAAAAAACTACTTCACGATCCTCCGTAATACAAAGATTGCCCTTAATTTTCTCAAAACCACGATTTCTTTTTTTACCGTGAGCGAACAACAGCACGCGAAGTCTAGATTAGGGAATAAGAAGTCTCCGCTCCAGTTATATCAGTGCAATTTCGTAGTAATTTTCGACTTTGTCAATGCTAGAGAAAAGCTCCTTTAAAAACTGTCGATTTACTTCTATTTTCTAGATTTTACTAGTCTGACATCTTACAAAATTATTCTTATCTATAATAAGAATGATCTTATCAATGATTAATTTGATTAATTTGAATATTTTTACATTGATTCTGTAAGATCGCTTCCAATTTTTATTTATTTGTATTTTTTATTCTATTGTGTAATTACGCATGGAATTCTTTCTCCAAGAAATTAGTAAAATAAGTTAATGAATTATTTACTGAATTAGTAAGATAAAAATAATTTGATCTTTATTTAACACTTGTACGTATTAACGTGATACATATTAGCAATTTGTGAGGCCTTCTATAGTAGTTGCACAAGAATATTTCTACGATATTTAAGAGTTAATTTGCGCTGGTAAGCTAGACGTCAGCAGTCAGAAACAAAATTACTTTCTCGATAGAAACGATAGAATGGTTCGACCTTCGGATAACAAATATTTCGCGAGCGAGTTTAAATTATGGGTGATGGAGTTATCAGATATATATACCGAAGTACGTTCTATCCATCATCGCACGGGCAAAATTACTACCTCAGGTGACGTGTTTTTTTTTATTTCTTTCACCTGTTTTCTAATTACTCTTGCGATTCCACGAAAAAAGAGAACAAATATAAATCTGGAAATAACGATTCATAGAAAGAACGTACATACGTGGAGATTAGACCGTACGTGAAGATCTGCAATAGCACGTTTTGAGATTGCTAAATATGATCCAAGAAGAACCAAAATTCCCAACGTACATATATCTTTCCATTTACTATGAAATCTATTTGAAACGAAGTTCGTGGATATTTATTTAAAAATCCTTGGGCAACAATATGCTGAAATAAACTTGAAACGTCTTGCGTGAAATTCCGTTTTCTAGGAGAAAAGAGGACAGGATTTCTACAAATCAAACTGGTTTTCAATCATTAGGAGTTAGTAATGCAATGCTCTAATTCTATCGCGTTCACACGGAGAAAAGAGCGAATCTCCACATTGGTAATTCAGAATTCAGCGGAAGTATCAGGAGAATGCGAAAGTATCGAGCGAATGGAATAACGATACTTTCGTCGCAGCCGGGGTCTGCGTGTGTAGTCTTGAACTTTGGTCATCGATAATCCAGTTGAAACTTTTGCAGGAAAAGTAGCGGTCGTTCGCTGTGTTATACGTATACGTATATATGTTTTATTCTAACCACAGCCGTTGTTACATGTCAAGGAACCACGAGAGTGTCCCATCGCGGTTGACGGGGCTCTGGAGACCAGACTCGGTCACATTTTAAAGGTAACGTTACCTAGCTACGACACGTTGTTGTGCGCACGCCCCGCGCAACAGTCGTTAATTTTGCATTCCACATATTCATTGGCACATATTCGACAAATTATTTCTTCCTTTCCGTTTTATCCATTGTTCTCCAGCGGTGCAGATGGTACATTACGCGTTAATTACTTGTGTAAATTATCTTCCCATTCATTACCATGGATATCGTGGTTTCGCGCGCGGAGAGTTGGCAGATATTGCGTAACGATAATATAAAATTACACTTGCCTGTCAATTGTGAAAAACAATCTACGTACGTATGCATCTTGTTATAAGTTTGAAAGGTACTGGACGAGGATCTTGATTACTTTCTAATCAAATTCTTTTATTTTGCGGTTTCGGTGGTGGTACATGTGAAACGAAGCATACGATCGTCGTGCAGAAATTCTTTCTAATTCAATATTATCCGAGTCCAATGCGCAACAAGTTCACTCCAAGCTTCAATCGCCATTTGCGTATCTAAAAAGGCATCTCTCAATTGGGATCCACTTTTTATAAAGAAAACTATATAATAATAATTATTTAGTTAATAATTATTTAATACAGTTAATAATTATTTAGTTCGTACTAGAAATTGCACGTGTCTCAAGTTCCAATTATACAAGCATACATTATTTATTTTTAAAGTCCAGGATCCTCATAAAATTTTACAAATCTCTTCCGTTCGTCTCCTACAAACGGAAAGCAGAAACATCCAGAAACATTGTCTCAGTTCTGTGTGACATGGAAATTCTCACTTGTCTCAATTTCACGAGTTATGCACGAAGGTCCATCAGGGGACAATCGCGCGAACTCGTTTCCTTTTATTATCAAAATCAACCTAACCCAAACCAGCCCGCAGTGAGATTCACCGCGCAAATGTGATGAAACAAATAAATTCGAACGAACGAGACAGTTGTTGTCCAGACGATTGGCATCGCCGCGCCGGTGGCGTCTTCGTTTACAGAATTTCCGCGCGCTGACAAAAAGGATCTTCCGTTTTCGTCGAGCTGGCGTTTCGGCCGCGCGTGTCCCGTTTTTAATTTAGTCTACCTCGAATTGCTGACCACCGCTAACTACGCCGTCTACCAATAGGCCGGCGTCATATCCCAGTATTATCCGACGTTGGTTCGCGAGGCAGAGACGGGCTCAGTCGTATGATAAACGCGGAGCAGCCACCTGGGTGAGGAGGTGAGGCTCTGGTGCGTTTGCACATCCGTCGACGCCGGTGAATCGTGCACCACGCGAACAATGTGCTCGCGGACTCCGTGAAACGGAACCGTCACCGATGCTTGTTTAGTATTGCGGAACCCGCGTCGATCGACAAATATATACCGTGTCCTTCTGTTCGAGTCTCGATCGTCGAACGAAACCGAGAACCGCTCGCGGATTTGATATTTGAATCGTCAGACACACAAGTGAGACGGTGTTTCGTGTGTTTTGAAGGGACGTTGAGCAATTTCAAATTTTAAAAGAGCATAATTTGATGAAAAAGTGACGACGTGCATTAAATATTATCTTTGGAATTTAGTTATGATCCGTGCCATCCGTTCAGTGATACACTCGTGAAACTGAGCAATTTGTTGTCTGTTCGAGATTGAATGTTAATTGTGAGTAGTGACTCGACAATTGAGATTTCTTTTTCATATTTTAATTTCATGTCAATTGATAGGATGATTTCTAATTTGTATAATTGTAATTATAATTTGTTGAGATTTTGTTCGATTTGTCGAATCGCAAGAAAATTTGTTACAACTTTCGTGAAGATTTCTTTGGGAATTTGGAATTCGTCGAACTGGAGCGTAAGATTAGAACTTTATGTCGAGATGCGGCATCTGTTTCGTGTTCGAATCTTTCGAACGATTGTTGCAAATTGAACTTCCCGAGATATCAAAACTGTTTCCGCGAAACTCATAAATAGTTATTTCGAATGTTTCAAACATCAGTCACTAATGTAGTATAATCTATTTTCTTGCAAGCAGTGTAGAATTTCGATTTACTTCGGGGAAATGCGTGCGTTGTAAATTGAAATGTGAATTTCTGATTTGGAGGAACGCGCGAAATTTCGAGATCGAATGTAAAGAATTCCAATCCAGTACTCTGTAGTCCGTGGTTTCGTGAATTTAAAGTATTGCTCAAATAAATTTGATTTTCCGAAAAATCGAAGCAAAGAAATACTCTTCTTTAATTTGTCTTTATATTTTCCTCTGTCACGTAATGATTAATTTACGTTACACTTGTGACGTGACATATCGAATCCGTACTATTATTTCTTTGTCATTGTAATTGGACATTAACAGACCGGAACCACCGTTAGTTTTCTATTTATTAAATCACTAACAGAGGTGCTTTCTACGTAATATAAAAAAAATTTTTCTTTTATATTTTTTACTGACCAATATGGTTATTGTCTTGTTAATTTTAACAAAGTATAAAATAAATTGGAAACTGATTGAAAAGTTCATAAATATTTTATTTATCGAATACCAATAGTATGTTCACAGTTTTCTGAAAGTCATTTAAAATTTTCACCACTTTTTTACTCTTGTAAATCTTTTCGTATAATTTATGTTTGTTTATCATGTCGATCTGTCGTTTTAACAAAGCGAGACTATCGCTAATTCTGAATTGTACCGTTCTCCGTTATAGTTCACGTTTACTCCGAGACTCATCCTTGTTCTATTCTCTTATAATCTTTGTCTTTCTTAACTTTAGAACAAGCAAACGGATTTAAAATTTTCTTTTTTACAATTGCTTTAAGAGACACGGATATTTCTCGTCGAAATTTAATATTGATCTCTGTTTAGATAGAAATATAATTTTATAAATCTTTATTTTTAATAAATTATTTAAGTTGCAATAATTTATATATAGAACATTTTATATACGTATCAAAGGCCGGTTGTTCTAGTAAAAATGATAAAGTCTAAATTCCGCGAAGATGAATGAACACTCCACTGTTCTTTAATATCATATTTCGCGAGTTGAAAGAAATTTGATATGAATGAATTAGAAAGCGAATTAGAAAATGAATTAGATATGTGAGAAAATTTCTCATCATTAATGACAATACTAATTTAGTAGTAATTTAATATATCAAAATCTCAGAGCAGCTATTCTTGGAACAAAAACATTGACCATGAATCAATATTGGCCATTAAATTAATGTATCAAGGGGACAAAGTTAGATATCACGATGGAACGAATTATAGATGCTTGAAACTTAATATAGAAATTATATATAGAATAAACATTCCATTTTAACTCTCGATAAATATTCCACGTAATTATTTTTTTAACTCTCAAGAAACTTCAATTTTAATTATTTCAATTATTTTTCTCATTCAAGGAAAATTCATTGAATTGATAAAATTATTCTGTTTTTATATATATATATATATATATCACCATAAGGATCAAGAGAACAGAATTGTGGCAAGAGGATGAGCCTTCGTTGGATTCACGAAAACTTAGAAGCACCAACATGCGACGAGGAATGCAGCGACATCGATGACAGTTGCAGCGACGACAGCTACGATTCCGATCTATCGATCGGCGAGGAGAAAGGGCCGGCCAGCGAAAAGGAGATCAATGGCGATCACAGGAGGAAAAGGGAGACCAGGAGGCATCCGACCACCACAGTGAAGTTCGACGAGAACGGGTATTTGCCGATAATTAAGAGCTGTCGATAGTCGAGGATAAGATCGAATCTTCGTTACGTTGTACAGGAATTAATCGAGTTACAATTCGAACGGTAAACTTTAATTGACAATTGATTTTATTCAACGAGAACTTCTAATTAAAAAAGAAAAAAGAACAATCTTACCTATTACGAATCAATAAAAAAAAAAATAAATAAATAAACTGATGAATAATTTGACAATCGATTATCTCACTCGTGAAATAAAAATGGGAATAAGAATAATATTTAAGATGAAATTATGTATAGTGTTTGTAATTATTAGACTAAATTTGTTTGTATTTAGAAAGTTTGGAGCTATAAAGGTACGTGGAATATATTACAAAATATGTAACATATACAAAATACAGTATTTGTTGCAATATTTAATTTCTCCTTTTCTCAAGTATTTTCTCGAAAATATGAATTTTCATAAAAATACACACTCTAGTAATCATTGTACCAATTACTCCCCATTGAATCTTATTTTTATTTTATTTCATTCTTATATCACGTCAATTTCACAGTGAATCTTATTCTTATTCTATTCTACTTTAAATTTTAAAAATTCACAGAAATTCTTTAATACTTCTATTTCGAATCGTCTTTTTTCTTTTTTTTTCCACGATTTAACCAATCGATCAAAATCGAGCATCCATGTGAATTTTTCTTGACGTGTTTCTCCGCGAGCGGGTGATAAGCTAGCAACAACAATAAGTCTGCAGACGTAATTTCCCTCCAACGTGCACTTACAATAAACGTTCATTAATCACTTGAATCGATTAATTCTCCACCTAGGCCGTATACTGCGAAGTTAACAGTTTTAAATTTCCTATTATTCATGCACCGTCCCTTCTGTCAGTTCGCGAACGTTTTTCGAATCGCGAAGGTGAAATTAATCAATTCGCTGCGTGGCGAAAAGGGTCAGTGAGCACGGTGACAAAGCTGTCAAGTTTCTAGACGATGAGTACCGAATGGAAAGGATGATTATCGTAAACAAAAGCAACGGGAACGTGGTGGCTGTTGTACAAGGAACCGTAACGAGTTCATCGATCACCTAACTAGATTTATTTTCCGCCCCGTGCCGTCGTAAAGTCGCTTTGAATTTATCAATCTTCCTGACGCTCTACTTTGTAGATCGTTAAACTGCGAGTAAATCAATAATTAATTAAACGACGGGACACTTTTATAACAAACAGGCCGCCGTTTGAAATATTTTTACACGCATATGCGTGTGTACGAAATATATGTACATAGGTTTATGCTGTGAATATATATATATATTTTCTTGACTTGGAAAGGTGTGACTTTCATCTAAGAAAGATAGTTTTCGTTTATAAAAGAATTTAATTTGAACTTCGACTTCAGACCTAAGGTTAATAAATTCAGATTATATAATAAATTAAGATTATATAATATTTTGCATCTGGCAAAATAAAGATCGATTTTTCTATCTGTGAAATATTACTCTAAAATATTATAATAGATTTATCTACAATATAATATATTATATATTATTACATAACTATTATTTGTTATGTATTATATGATATATATTATTATATATTACATAAATATATTATTAATTATTCATTAATATTAATGTTATTAATATATAATAATGTAAATATAACTACGTTGAAACTGAGCAACGATACAAAGAATAATTCTACCAGAATTTACAAGTCTAACAAGTAACTCTCGAATTTTCTATGCGACTCCGTATCTATTGACAAAAATGACACGCCAAATTACTGGTGTAAGGTGAGAACCCCGAAAATCTCCTTCTGGAATCGATAGAAGAACAGTGGCAAAGTCACCCTGCGCGTCGCGATGTGCGATGTACATTCATTCGATCACTTGATTCGATTAACTTTCTGCTCTATATTGTCGCAGGGTCAATAGGTGCTATGGTGTAGGTACGGTTCACGTTATATTATTACCGGCATTCGAGCACCGTGGCAACCAGCGAGGCTGCAATTCCGCGCGAATTGCATTAAAGCACACGCACGACGCGCAACGCAAAATTAGGATCGACGTTTATGACCGTGTGCGCTCGGGTTTCAACAAATAGATCGTAGCACGCGTTCAAAGTTCAATTAACGAGGGCGTGTTTGCGCAAGACGCCAAGACATGATCATTTTTTTAAGGTGATGAATTTCAAACGAGTGAAATCATTCCGTTTCTCGTCGTGAGAGCAGCATAATTGGAATTTTCAACCCCGTGGAAACTTCGTCATTTGGTATTTTTTATTTTTTGCATCGACCTCGTCGTTCGTTGGATCATGTTCTTCTGGAAAAATTTACTGTGAAGGGACGTTAATTTTGTTTTGTATATCATGTGACAACATATGTAAGACAAGTGTAATTATTCATCGAGGATTTAGAAATTATTATGTAATAAATATGTACATAATAAATTCTAACATAGTTATCCATTGAAACTATACTTTTAAGATTCTAATACTAAATAGAATATTCAAAGTAGTCTACGGATAAAAAGAATACCACTTGTATGTAAATGTGTGCAGTTATGAGAAAATTGCAGAAAAATAAGTCTTCTAATGATCGGTAACTTCTTTTTCTATTTTGTAACGAAACTCGACCAATCGCGTGATCCGCCCTGTATACTCGTTATTGGTACCATTAGCTTGATTATCTTCGGTTGATGCTTTGCTTGTGTCGAATAAAGGCTATCGGTATCGCGTTCCTTCCCCTCGAGCATCTGTTTAAAATTAACAGGGTTGGAAAACATGCGCGGTGTAAAACAAAGCACGCTTCATTCACGAAGCCTGCTGACCTGAAAAGTCGATCGGCCCATTTTTCCAAACGTAGTGACACGTTATAAATATAGCGTGTGCCGAGCTGCTGCTTTACATTAGATCCCGTTTAGTATTACTTACCATATTCTGTTTTCATTGTCACTGTGTAGCGACAGTCGGAGCCGATGTTTTATCTCTAAATTACTTGTCACGATACTGTTATATATTTGAATATTATTCTCATTGAAAAAGTAAGAAACTGGTTGAAGAGAATTAAACTCATTAAACTCATTAAAAATTAGAAGAGTGCGTGAATTAAAATACGTATAAGAATATATTTCAGGAAATTTTTAATAAAAATCAGCGATTACGATAGAATTCCACGATACAAAATGATAATTTACATTTTCACGGTATTATTTATATCCTATTTCTGTAAATTTTCTAGAATTCGGATAGAACTGTTGAAGAAGTCATTTCTCACAACTACGATGTTGCAAAAAATATGGAATAACATAGATTTACTTTAAAGAGAAATTGCGAGCGAATCGTTGTGTCAAAGAAGTTCTCAGAAGGTCTAGCTCTGTGACATTTGAAACACACAAGTGTCTTTTATTCCTCAATAGAAGTTCGAAAGAAATTCCTGTACAATGGTCTCGAAGATCTTTCTCTCCGTCTCGTAAGATTGACGTTTAAAATTAAGTGTGTATTTGTAGACTTGGTATTTACGTTTATAGACGCCAGGTGCGTGTTCCGGAGATTCTAAACATTGAATTCTCTCTCTTACAGAACTCCGCATTACATCACGCCGGAATCGGTTAAACGGCCGCCTTACGTAATATGGGATCCCAGGAAACCGGCGCAAAATCCCGTGTACAATTGTTTGGTAATCAAATTGTTCTGTCGGACCGGATATCATCTTGGCGTGTCGGCTTCTGGACGTGTTCGAGGCTTAAGTGCCACGAACGAGCCGCATGGTAACTACAACAGAAAATAAAAATGAGAATTCCAAACGATACGTGATTAATGAAATTAATAAAAATGATTTTCAGCCTTGCTTCACATAATACCGGTGTCATTCGGAGTGATTCGAGTACAAAGTCTCGAGACCAGTTTGTACTTGGCCTTTAACAAAAAGGGTCGTTTGTACGGGGAGGTATGTTTGTAACAATACTCCTAAAATAATATCGATTTTTATTTCTAGAAGTAGCGACGTTTGTTACTTTTAAATATTTGCAATCTATTTTACGATGATATTGGTCCTTCTTAAAACTGATCTATCATCTCGATTGATACAACTGAGTTTTTATCAATTTATTCCAGCTAAACGGGAACAAAGATAACACCGAATGGGAGCAGTGGAACGTCGGCTCCTACGATGCGTTTCGGTCGCGAAAATACGCGAATCAGGGTTGGTGGATTGGAATAAAGAAGAACGGGCGAGCGAAACCGGGGCCAGAGACAAGTTGGGGCCAAAAGTCGATACAATTCCTAGCGATACGACAAGATTAACTGTATTATTCATTTCTACGAATATTTCATACGATTCCTTCAAATTAAACCACGATAAGTTTAAATACTCGAACGAGAAAAAGAAAAAAACTAAATGTAAGATTGACCAGTGGGGAACTTTTTCAAAACCTTGTTGCTAATTCGCGTGATTTTTTACCAACAACGAAAATCGACAGACAGCACGCGGGAAATAAACATAAATCACTTTCTAAAGGGAAATAAATAAATCTCGTTCACTTCCAATAGAATATAATGTTTATTATAACACTATGTTACTCAACAATGAAATAATTTGAGATTGTGCAGTCTGCTTGTGCCCTTCAACTGAAACTTCATCGCAAGTTGCAGTTTTAAATTGCAATACATATTGATTCCTTCTTTATCTTTTCTTTGTCTCTCTCTCTCTCTCTCTTTTTTAATTATATTAATCGTTGATCGAACATGCTGCAGGCAAAGTGTCGATCGAGTTTCTTAATCAGTCGAATTTGCACTGTGCTCGCAGCATTTATACAAATTCTAATTTATATTAATATATTTATATTTATTTATATGTAATTGTATATATATATATATATTTCTTATCTCTTTTGTACATCTACGTACATTGCATACACGTATATCAAAACCCTTAAGCGGAAAGCTTCAATTAAAAAACACTGGTGTTTGATTAAATACGGTAACTAGAAACATTGATCACCCTTCTTTATCCAATACGTATCAAATACGCGAAAAAAATCACAATCAACCCCGAACGAATGCGATTTAACAGTAGAAATTGGATTCACACACCGGAGAGAACGCAAAATCATGCTTAATTATCAAAAAAAGAAAGAAAAATCTTGAGTGATTTTTCACCGTCGAAATTGCACGTTTCCAATCTCTCTCCTGTAGATTTCACAGAGATTCTTCGAAGACACACATTGCACAGATGCGAAACGGAATTCTTTGGCAATAAATAACAATATTAACGTAAGCGTTTTGCAGGCAGAAAGCGTATGCAGTGATTAAAAGAGACGAACAATAGTCGAACAATGAGTTTCTTGTGCGCGCACGTTTGAATCGTAATTCGTCGTTCGTGGAATCATGCTCGATTCGAACGTGCGTGTCATGAGAGAGAATTCTCGCTCGCGGACGAGCTACTCTGTGAATAGTATGCACACGAATACGTGATGAAACGTGTAAACGTGAAACAAGCTGGACACATCATGAACGACGTTTTCTCGGGATTCTTATATCTACAATAACTTGTGATCATCCTCTCGTTAAATAAGGCAGTTATAATAAAACGCGTGTACATACTGTTCACGGAGGTATCGACGATCACATTATTTTCTTTAAGATCCCTGTTTCTTCGACATTTTCTTATCTAACGCGACGGCGTGAATTCACTTTTTCTTGGTGTTGGGGCTCGTAGACTGAAAAACACTGGACGCCGACATTAAGTTCTCGATGTACTGGCTCAGCACTTGATTCTCGCTTCTCAGCTTCAGGTTCTCCTCTTTCACGCTGTCTACTCTCTGGGACAAGTCTGGGACAACAAAGTTCATAACTTGTGATGAAAGTGATTCAGAATGAGTGAAACAGAGTTTGTCAAGTTGACGTGAATATAAAAATTGGACAGTTTTCAGAAATTTACTCACCGTCTAACGTGTTCTGAAGTTCAAGCACTTGGGCAATCAACCTTGCCTTCTCTTCCTGCTCGTCGGGGCTTATGTCAGGATCCAAGCCTATAGTCACATAACATCGAATGTTGGATAACACGTTCTTAAATATTTGTGGAACATAGTGATGCGAGACTCACTGTTGGGACTGCAACTTCCATTTGTGAACGTGGATGGTATAGAATCCATGCTGTGTCCACTGCCAAGCACGTCAGATATGTGGCAGCTGTTGTCTACGATCTCCTCTTCAGGAATTATCACTGCATAAACAAACGATCATCTCAATAGTTAGATATCTTACAGACAAATTCCTCAGAAATTATCTTTCCTTGGTAGATCGCACGAATGGAAATACAGTTTCTAAAATTTCTTTGATAAAAGAATGTGGAAATTTAATAAATAATAAAATTTAATAAACAATAAGCATCTCTGTATATCTTTTAGAGCAATGGTCAAGAATGTGGAAATTTAATAAATAACAAAATTTAATAAATAATAAGCATCTCTGTATATCTTTTACAGCAATGGTCAAGGAAACAACTCGCCACTTGGCGCGATGTAATCAACACGTATGTGTGTAAATACTCCAAAATCAATTAACTGTGTCAATCCTGAACCATGCACGCAATTTACCAAAACTTATACTTTCAAAATTTATCTGTCACTGAAACCAACGATTTGCCACAATCGGAGTAACAGAGTTCGATCTGTTCGAACCTGAATATTTAAGTACTTAAAGAAAGTAAAAAAAAGGAAGAAGAGACAAAATGTTTTAAAAACAGGTTACAACGTAGAAAGATACGACGATGGAAGCGAAACGAAGTGGGTCAGAGACGCAAGACACGAGTTTGCCTACCTTGCGGATCATCGTCTGCCAACGGTATGCTGCTCATGTCATCCAGAAGCTTGTCTGTCATCGACGTGGACATCTTGACGCGTAGGATCCTCGACGAGAGAAATAACACACTTCTCGACAAACCTGCGCGCAAGTACAACGCTTGACCCTCGGAAGCTTATCGATTTCCACGGGAAACCCGCACGAAACCGTTGCCACGTTTGCCGGTATAAATACGAGATACGATCGATCGTTCGTCACCTTACGTGGCAAACCGTTCGATCGAAAGATTGGACGATACAAATTCTTGAAAATAGCGTGTCGATTGAATCGTCGAGTTGACTCAACGTCGGTCGACAGTGCTCTTGCTCGCCATTTGCTTTCTCGCTGACACCTGCAGGCGCCTAATTTCACTATCCTATATCGATGATACCGTGGTAATCCAAAGTTACTTCGTTCTGTCATAATTTGAATAAAGGAAACGAGTTTCCATCTGATTTTATTATCTTGGAAGGTGTTGGACGAATGTACGATTGGAAGCGATATTTTTTACGCTGTTCTTTTAGTTATATTCTCCATGTTGTTATGGCATCATTGAGTTATTGATTGTGAATGGAGTTTGATTGTAGGACGATTATAAATGACTGAAGGTTTGAATGTAAGATAAGAGAGCTGTATACGAGGCTTTCAGTTAGTTTATTAATATGGTGTTTTTATATTTGGAGCACAAGGGGAAATGTGAGAAATTGGCTGAGAAAAACGGAGCAGCAGTATAGCGTCCTCTACAGTTCAATTACGTACAACAGATGGGAATGCTTCGTGCCAAACTTTTCGACAGTAGATATATTACAATTATAAACTCACGAAACCATATACACGTCCAAGCCACAAACGTATGTTTGAATGTTAATTAAAAAATTCGAATCTATGATTAAAATCGAATTTCGATACTGAGTGTAATTGTAAGATCTCAGATTTCCTTATTGGATAATTATGAAACATAAACACACAATTAATTCTGTATGAAGTTGTGAAGACGTAGAAAGCTTGTGTTTCAGAAATTATTTATTGTAAAGCTGATCAGTCAATGTCAATATCAATATTAAAATTACATTCATAAAGATGTCTAAATTCACAATTTTTTGATATAAAGGAGAAGAGTATTTCGTAATTTTTCTTTAGAAAAAAACCTCCAAAATACACTGAAGTAATACAGCAATATTTATTTTTTAAATTTGAAATAGTTCTTTAACATTACTCCAAAATTGTACCTCTAACCGTTTTTAATGTACCTTTAAAATATTGAGAATGCTGCTATGAATGAAGTGAGATCACTATTTAAAAGTACAAGAGTAATGGTTCTCATTACACTTGATTTGATTTTTAAATCAATTACTCTTTTACACATCAGTCTTTCTCTACTACATAAATTACATAAATCTTGTATAAAATGAAACACCACGGTATCTCATAAGTAATATCTAACTTTACTGTCAACATAATCATAAATCCTTCTTTCATGTAGAATCGAATGAGAACCACTTTCAAGTTCGTAACTCGAGTATCGAATATCTCATTTCTGTGAACTTTTTGTGGGCCAATGGAGCCATTCATGTTCACGTACACATTTCCTCAATGTTTCATAGTGATCTAGTATTTACGCTGGTAAAGTCCTTTAAAGAAGTTAAGGTCACTGAATTCGGAGCATATCTCCGAGAGGGATGATTGCATCGATCTGAAATAAATTGTAAAAAAATTTACTTTTGTATTTTTGAATGAAGAAGGATCTTCTTCTTAGAATAAAATGAATGACACACTTTGAAGATAGAGGCTTCAAGTTTTAAAATGTGCCCAAGTTTCTTTTTACGAAATTATAATAGCTACAATTTCTGCGATATCGAAAATTTTTTCCAACATTCGAACGACTCTATGAAATTTTATGATATTGTAATTTCCGTCTTCCAAGGAAAATAAGAAAATAAATAAAATAACCGTGTTCAAAAATCAAGTTGACGAGTGATCGTTTGTTAAAAATAATCACGCATTTAACAAAATGTTATTACGTTCGATTCGATAAATAATTTTCGGTGCAGACATGGCAAAACTATCCGTTATCTTTTAATTTTAATTCCATACGCTAGTGACGCTGCGGTGTAAAACCTGCCTGAATCGATACAGTAGAATATGACTCGAAAAACAGTAAGAGGATCCTAAAAGACTACGTATGTGTAACAAAAAAATTCATTTTATCATTCAATGATTGCGTGATTGCACATGAGATCTGCTTATATGTCTCGTTTATGATTACACATAATAAGATACCTGTAGAAACTTTCTTAATCCAATGACGGTACGAGCCTAAAGTATCCATTGTAGGTACAGTGTTTGCTGGAATAACTAAATTGCTAAATGTTGATAACATGGACGTAATTTGTAGGATTCAAACGCGTGAAAATTTATTCAACTAAAAATAAAGATAGTTTGCTCGATGAAAATCTGGAAATCAGACGATTATTAAAGGAATTAGAGAATTTTTGTCACAGAATAGATGTACTTATAACACATAATGTTTTCATTGTTCAATTATTCAATATTAGACATTACTAAATAAACTGAGCGATAATAAAAGGAAGGATTGTTTGAAACTTTTTATTAAATCTTTATATCATATGCTTGATATCTGTCGTGAAATCTGATATTTCTCTAATATCACACGAGAGTCGAATTTTTTTAATTATTATCAATTGTTATCACTCGCGCACGTGACCAAACGCAATCGCAAACTATAAAATATACTTTCCAGATTTAGGAGGGAATTTCTGAGATTTAACAATTACTCGTACCGGCGTTCAGAGTATCTTTTCTAATATAACTGGGGGAGGAGCCTTGGCATTCTTTCCTTCAATCCGCCACGTCTTTGAAGTATCACCGTCTAAATCCTACGAGGTCGAGCTGCCTTAAAAAGAGGAGTTTCCTCCCTTTGACGTTGGATTTCACGCAAGGCTAAGTTATGCGAAGATGCTCCTTGTTTAAGCGCAAATTGGGTTTGCTCGACGCGAAGTAAGAACCCTCGCGGGGCACAAAGGTCCTCGTCCTTGAAATTAATTCGCAAAAGAGACAAAGGACTATTCGGTGGTCGTAGAGCGCCGTTCAAGCTTCACGGTTGACGAACTGTCGACACGCGCCAGGCAAATATTAGTCGACTGGAAGTGGCAGTAATTGGATAAATAGTTGTCAGACCGTGTCTTCTATCCCTCTGAAATAAATTTTCATGCGAGAGACAGTGAATATGTGATCGACACTTTATTGACGATTGAGCAATTCGTTCCTCAGCTTTTTGTAAATCATAATGTGGATCGATTGCTTCCTGATAGTTCGGAAATTCCAAAGGAAGGACGTTTAAAAGAATGACGAATAAGTACAAGATATGTTTCAAAATAGATCATTATTTTTACGAATGATATGGTCATGGTAAACCATGGTAAATTTTTGTTCGTCGCTGTATCAATTTATTGATAACTAAAAAATACGAAACTTGTATGAAAAGATTGAAAGATTTATAATACGATAGAAGAAATCAAATTTTTATTTATATATACTTTACAAAAAGTCGTTGGGACAATCCATATTTGTGAAATTGACATAAACAATTGATAATTCTTACCGCTCTGACAGAGTCAATCAAATTTATAAGAAGAAAATAATATTAAACGTCTTTTAATTGTTAAATCTAAAGGAAGAAGAAATATTTTTATAAATGTGATTCGAACATACTTACATTCCAAATGTCGTGTCGCTTTTGCAACGAAGGAATGCGATGTATTATTCCTAAAAATTCATGTCGAAGTAAATTTTACAATTTCCGAAAGTTTACAAAATCACAAATTTAAAAACACAGTTCGCATCGAAAGTCAGAGTTGAAAATCGATGCTCGATTTAACTTCTAGATCTGGTCAGGGATCATCGTTTCTTCTGATTCAGCAGAATTGTGCAATTTATTTCATTATATTCGACACGCGTCGCGTTTGATCGATTTTAGTTAATCGCTCGGGGTTATATAGCAGAATTCCTAGCGTGCTGGACGCCGACGCACCTATTGATTTTACGGGAGAGGGAGGACGAGAGAGAGAGAGAGAGAGAGAGAGAGAGAGAGAGAGAAAGAAAGAGAGAGGAATAAGAGAGGACAAGGGGGTAAAGGTGGTCCGACAGTCTCCTCTGACCGATGCAGCTTCATTTCCCAGGAGCATTCACTTAGAAACATCTTTTTTACGTTCTACCTCTCGATCAATCGTCGAATAAATGACACGTTGCTACGTAACTAATTATTCGAACGTTGCGCGATAAATTGTTTTTATATTATAAATAAATTAATTTATTACAACTCGTTGTCTCATTATTCACTATAAAAAATAATATATATATATATATATATATATATATATATATATATAAAATAGTACATTTTAATCTTTGAATTTTGTGTTTGATAAAATGATTTGCTCGTAATACACGTATTTCTCAAATTTGAGAATAATTATATTGTCAAGTATAGAAATATAGCTTGGCAAAGTTAAGCAATTTTGCGACAATTATTATCAACGTTCGTAAAATTAATTATTTTGTTATTTCAATAATTTCAGGAAATTTGAGATTTTGTGTTTACAGATTTAAAAAATTTAAGTGTCTTGGTAGAATAAAGTTAAATACCCGAAGAAGTTCCACATCGATTCAGAAAATGATAATATTCAAATACTCGAGTGATTTGAAATAATACAAGAATAGACGGAGAAACTGCACATTCTGTTCTCCTTGTGAGAAAGACGATGTTAGAGAAGGGAAAAACAAGGAGATCGAAGGGATGAATCGTCTGTTGTTTGTGGATATCTCGAATGAAGTGGTCGTACCGGTTGAAGGCGAATACTTGGGTAATCCTCCGATATACGTGAGAAGAAAATCAGATTTCTTAAACGTCAGCCAGCCCAGCAAATTCTGAAGTTCAAGCTGAGCCGGGTGAAAAATTCACGGGGATTTTTTTCCACGCTCCTCTGCAAATTGTAATAGACTGTCCCTTGCTCGTGAAACACGGACCGATCGAATGGGCTGTCATCTTCTATAGACTTTCAAAAAGTTTCGAAAATATTCAGTGCAATATATGAAAATTATTTCTATTATTTAATCGCGATTCTAACTATCTTAATTGAAAGAATAGAAATAGATACAGTGTAAATTTCAATAGCGTAGAATATTACAGACAAGGAAATAAAATTTTAACTACCATTCTCTGTTTTTCAATAAATTTAAGTAATTCGTTTTTCTAAATTTCATCGACGTTAAAATATTCTAAAAATATTCGCGTAGCAATCGACGAAGGTGGCGGTGAAAGAAAATTTCAGTATTATGTTTACGAATTGCAATTACGATTTTCGGGGATACTTTCCATTACACGATGAGTTGTAATTATTTGCTTGGCATTTGTCAAACAAAAGCGGTGGTGGTAAAATATTCGCCTGTCGAACGCTTGTTTTCAATTAAATCGTTCGGCGGTGATCACAGCGGCCAACGAATCGCGACAAAGCTGCGAAACGCGACGGCGTAATTATGCGCGTGCTTCGTTTAAATTCGCCACGATAATCGATGGTCATTAAATGACAACGAGCCACAGAGAAACAGGTACGTCGCCGACTTTGCTTTTAATCCAACTTAACGGCTGAACAATTTGTCCCGGTTTGCCCGGTGTGACGCGCCAGCTTGAAGCAAATTCGTCGAATCCTTTTTTCCTGGCAATCGAAGCGGACGCAACCCCTCGTGAATTTCGTGAAAATCAAACGTATTTGCTGCTCTTATTGTCCGTCTTTACTCTGGTTCGATTTCCCGAAGATTTAGTAGGAAACGCTTAATTTTTATTTGAAATTCCAAGAAATTCCAAGGATTCGCTTAGTATTTTTCCAACGTTTTACGACAAATTATTAATGGTGTTTTTGATAAACGAGATCGTATCTCAGTATGAAACAGAACCTCCAGTTATTTAACCTTAACAATCGTTACGAGTTGCAACAAAAAAAATTTCGAAAAGGAATCCTCACAATTCCGAGAAATACACTCGGATAACGTTTAGATACACGTCGATCGATTTGCCTCGCGGAAGCATCCATTAACTTTCGATACAGCCCTTTTTTCTTTTTTGGAGCAGCGAGGAATCGCTTGACTTAGACTCGAGGTTGTTCTCTCGAAGTTCACCATGGAAAAGTTGCACGCGAAACGATTTGAGAACCGTCGCTTTAAAGCCCCACTTATCGAGCGCCTAGTTGGTATGATAATGTAATAAAATAAATGGAGGTTGCTGTTTCCCGGCGATATAGACTCTCGTTGCCTCTCTGTTCCGCGGTTCGATCTTCCTCGTTGGCGAGCCACCCTCCTCGAGCTCTCTCCTCCTCGTCGCACCACCGCCACTTTCGATTCCTCCGTCTCGTTTCGTTCGAGAGTCTCGTTCCTCTGGTTCCTCACTCCGACCCACTCAGTTTCATTTCAACGGAAGCGCCCTCCCCCCTCCCTCCCTCCCTCCCTCCCGCCGAATCTGGCCGGCTGCCGAGGGGTTGCCACGGGGATCGAGAAGGTAGAAGGGAATGGAGCTCACCTCGAAAGCGAAATACAACAAGTCCCGCCGCCATTGCTGGGTCACCCTTCAACGGGAGTTTTGTCGTTGCGTGGGGGTGGGGGTTTGACAGCCCTGTGCGACGAGTCATCCCCTTTCGACCCCGACCGAAGCTTGTGCTCGCGTGGGGTGGGGGGCTGAAAAAGGGAGAGAGAGAGAGAGAAAGAGGGGACAGAGCGTGTCTTCTGTTCCGTACTGTTCTGAGGAAAATTGAGAAAGAGACGAATGTGTTGAGAGAAAGCGAGAGAGAAGAAACAAGAGGAGAATGAGAGAGCGTTGCACTATTACGAGAGGTATCGAAAAGAAACGGTCACGTGGAAAAAGAGCAAGAGGGAGAGAGAAGAGAACGCGAGAGAGTTTGCCAAGGAGAGAGAGAAAAAAGAGAAGAGTTCGAGGGATGGAAAAGAATAAAAACAGAGGGAGCAAGAGGGTTTGTCACGTGGTGGAGAGGGATGGAAATAGAAGGAGGATATTGCGGAACGACGGAGAGAAAAGATCGTATGGAGGGGGGGAGGGGGGGAGGACGTGTGCCAGCCAGAGTGTATTTATAGGGAGGAAAGCGAGTCGAAGAAGGAAAAAGAAAACGGGATGAAGAGTGATACACACAGAGAGAGAGAGAGAGAGAGAGAGAGAGAGAGAGAGAGAGAGTAAGAAAGGGGTAGAGGAAAAGTGGAGGAAGGAAGAGAGGTCGAAAACTCCGCCCCTGCATCCGCAAAAGCGAGTCAATACCATGACCGGCCATCCTTTCTCCTCCAAATGCCCTCTCGGCTCACGGTTAAACCGGTGCGCCGCCTTTCCAACCCCTTTCTCTCTTTGTGCTCCAGCCATCGGGATATCGAAATTCGTTACGTGCCGTAGCGGCGAGGGCGCTTCGACTTGAAAGTTCCCGGCGTCACGAAGCAAACGCGTGTTTTAGGAATCGATTCCGGATATAGACCGAGCGGAATTCGATTCTAAAACGCTTTCAGACATACCTGTGAGTGTCATTCCGCACCGTCGTTCCGCGACATTTATTTCGTCACATTTACTCGGGCGTTGTTCTCTTGCACAGAGAAGGAGGAAAAATCGGATCGGTAAAAGTTGTTTGGAAAGATGAATTTGTTTTCGCTTCTTCTTTTATACTTTTTCACGCGAATTTTTTAGGCGCTAAGTGTTATTTTATGATCAAAAGTACAAATTCAGATTGACGTTCTGTGAAATCAATTTTACTCCAACTGGGGACAGTGTATTTTTAGTACAAGATTCTACATGAGATTGTAAATTGTAAATTTTTGAAGTTTCCGACGAATTATTTCCGAAGATTCACGCTGTTTTAGGAAATTAAAACAACTGAAGCCAATGATATAAAGTCTGAATTTTTTTTTATTTGCTTGCTAAGTTAAACTGGACATTATGAAAATGATTCATTGCAAGATTTCGATTAAATTCGTCAGGTTAAAAAAAATTATTCGAAATTAAGCAATCAACAAAAAAAGAAATTTTTTTCCGCTTTAGAAAAACCCTCGAATGGATTTGAAATATAATTGCTCGATTAACTCTCTTATCAATAATTCCAAGACATCTCGTAACAGGCATAGAAAAGAGACGCGTATAACGCGAATAAATATCGTGCTGTGATTTCAAGACGCGAGGGACGGATCCGAAGGAAGCGAGTTCCGATCGAAAAAGTATTAAGGGTAAGTCTCTCGCCCCCGTGCCGGGGCGTTTAACTCTCCGATTGCTTTGACAACTTAAGCAGGCCCTTAAACCTTGCTCGAGCCTCGGTGTAATTTATAAGCGGCCGAGGGGGGTAATTCCGTTGGGGACCGTCAAACTGCCATGTGGCAAAACACCCGAGGGAAAGTCAGGGATTATACGGTGATAAATAAATATGTACGTTTATGCAACAACCACCGTGACTCGGGGGTTAGCGTCAAATTTCGATTCGCCGGGATTCGCCGGTGTTACCCTTCGGTTAAATAAACAGAAGTTAAAGTAGTTGGGGGTCAGGGGGGGGGGGGATCTTTGACTTCTGTCTAGGAGCAAACCGCGACTTTGTTTTAATTGGTAACGTGAAATTAAGAGCGTTTCGTTCGGTGGTAGTAACTTTGGCAATTTTAGGAAGAGGAAGATTAAAGAGAATGATAAATTTTACTCTTTACCTGAAATTAGAAAATTAAGCTTTCATTTGGTAACTTAAAATTTGGTATTTTTGAGAAAGGATTGAAGATAAAGACCAGAAAACTTATAATTTTACTCTTTACCTGAAATTAAAAAATTAAGATTTCATTTGGTAACTTAAAATTTGGTATTTTTGAGAAAGGATTGAAGATAAAGACGAGAAATCTTATAATTTTACTCTTTACCTGAAATTAGAAAATTAAACTTTCATTTGGTAACTTAAAATTTGACATTTTTGAGAAAGGATTGAAGATAAAGACCAGAAAATTTATAATTTTACTCTTTACCTGAAATTAAAAAATTAAGATTTCATTTGGTAACTTAAAATTTGGTATTTTTGAGAAAGGATTGAAGATAAAGACGAGAAATCTTATAATTTTACTCTTTACCTGAAATTAGAAAATTAAGCTTTCATTTGGTAACTTAAAATTTGACATTTTTGAGAAAGGATTGAAGATAAAGACGAGAAATCTTATTATTTTACTCTTTACCTGAAACTGGAAAATTAAGCTTTCATTTGGTAACTTAAAATTTAGTATTTTTGAGAAAGGATTGAAGATAAAGACAAGAAATCTTATTATTTTACTCTTTACCTGAAATTAGAAAATTAAGCTTTCATTTGGTAACTTAAAATTTGGTATTTTTGAGAAAGGATTAAAGATAAAGACGAGAAATCTTATTATTTTACTCTTTACCTGAAATTAGAAAATTAAGCTTTCATTTGGTAACTTAAAATTTGATATACATTTAAGAAACATAGGGAAATATTTTTTTGCACTTTCGGTAAATTGCAATCACAATAGTAACGTTAAAGTATTGAAACTGCAAGTTCAATTCGTTATGAAATTTCTTTTACTATAGATCGAAGCAAGCAGCCAACAGCTTCGATCTTTCGTCGAAACTAAAAATATTTAACATAGGTACATGCAAACATAGGAATTCTTTACTCTTAAAAGTGTGAATTTTTATTTCGTCGAATACGATGGAACGAAAAGGACGATCGTCTCTAAATAAATGGCGATGGAAGGGATTGATACGGCGTCTCTGATGCTTCTTCTTACGCATGTGTACTTTTATTACAAGTGGTTAGGTAATCGTTACAATATAGTGACTCAGTGTCTAGACTTTTACAGCAAATAGTATCACAACACGAAATATACAAGAAAAGCACAGACGTGTATCATTTTTACAGCTGTCCGAAAGTTCGTATCGGTTACTCGTATATTCGAAACCTTATCTTACATAATCTCGGAGAACCTAAATTAGTACGTGTCTCAACAAAATCACGAGTGAAATCGTAAATGAAAATTCTCGACTGCAGCGTTTTCATTGTGGGAATTTTTCGTTCGTGTAGAAAATCGTTCGCGCAGAAACCGAATGATTGAAATGACTTGGTCAACACGTCGAACCTAATGTTCGATAAACATTTTTATAATAAATAAATATGTATATATATATCTATATCTTTACGTCGGAACTGATGAGTATCCCTCGTTTCACTTAGATACCGTTGAACCATTGAACTAAATACTGTACTCGTTCGATTCGTTACCTTTCACCAAGGCTCCGTCGTTACCTCGATCCCGATCTAGTGGAAAAAAAAAAAAATGAAATCACTAGACGAGGAGGAGAATTCAGTTGAAGGGTCATTTACTTGGGGCTTCGTCCTTAGGCCAAAGCTTTTACACACAATGTAAAACGATGTAATTATCTTCGATCGATCGTTCTCGACTACTTGGTCGATTCAATTGCTTATTTTTGTTTCCTAGTCTCTTTTCCTTTTTCTCTTTCGTTTTTTTCTTTCCTCCTTCAAATTTACGCTAATCTGCATTCTAAGTTCGCGTACTCTCGCGACGAAAGGTCTTTCGTGCTCCGTACACTGCACCTGAAGAGACGTTACTAGAAAAAGAAATTTCGATCAAATTCACGACACTCTCAATGTTTATTCTATCGTTCGACGTTCGACAGCGGTCTCGTTTAAACGAAATACGCGACAGAATCGAACGTTTCGCAAAAAGTGACTCCCAGTAGCACGAGGTTCATGGAATTTCGCTTTGTCTCGCAGAGATTTCAACGTGGCACTGAACAAGAATCTCGGTTACTCGAAAGGTTACTTGTTAAACGATAAATCCGATCCCGATAATTCCAAGCGGAATATCGGCGAAGAACTGTTCTTAATTTTTATACATGTCGCACAAGACTTTCTCCATCGGTGTATTGCCGATCGTTCTGTGAAAGTATATCAGTTCCACCCTCGACGCCGGCACTGTCCTCAGCAACGGTAGTAACAGCAATAATCTGCCGAATCTCGCCGGGCTTCCTGGTTGTTGCGCTCTGGCGTGCTGACCTAACATCACCTGTGCTTGGTCCTGCAGGTTCTCTATCTGACTGGAGTCCTTCAAGCCGCGGGTCTCTGCGAAAATACGGAAACACTTCGTAATAAAATATCAATCTTTTGTAGGAAAAAACACTTACGGGAAATTCGAATGTCAGCAAATTTAACCTTGACGGTTAAAATTGTAAAATCAAACGTGGAATTCTGTGACGAATATATATAAGTATCTACGTGTTATGTATAATTTTCTACTTATTTTACAAATATTCAGATAAATTAGAAAATTATTAAAACGTTAACTAAAGATATTAAATTAAATTTGATGATAATCGAATTGATAATGTTCAAGGTCGAATAATTAATCTAATTAATTCAATTAATACTATAAAATGTATAAGAAATTTAGGAGAACTTAACGGAACTAAATGTTTTAAAAAATTAATTGGATAATTATATAATTGATAAATAAAAAATCTTAATCATAATGATAATCACAATGCTTGAAGTAGGTATATTTCACAGTATTTCAGACACTTTCAATTATTTTTATAATTTTTATAATTTTCACAAGTTAGTATAATCTCTGTAATCGTTACGTATAAATTTGTCAATACTAGATTCAACTCGTTGCCAGTCACGATTGAATCACTTGACGAAGAACACTGGAATAGTCAGAAAGTTGGTATTTCCCTAGGATGAATTAATCTCAGCACGAACCTGGTCGAAATAGTACAATGGCCTTCATGCAGGCAAATTCAGCAGGATCAACCATGACAGCCTTATATCTCTGCAAGGTGTCGTGCAAATGCCTCACATCTGCTGCCACCTGACTCGGCTTGCCTGTCGTGGTTTGCATATGAATTCCTGGATGGGGGTGCGGATGCGGCGACAGAGTCAAGGCAGTCAGTTCGGCGGAGTTGAAAAGAGGCGACGATTCGAGTGGAAGGCACCACTGGACCGCGTTCAGAAGGAAAAGTTCCGACCAGGCCTCTTCTAAAAGTATCACCTATCACACACAGGCATCTCAATCATCGGAATATCGTTTGTGCAACGAGATGGAATTATATGAATTATTTGAACAGTCCTACGTGACTGGACAACGTGATTTCCTTCTACTAACAACAAGCCTGGACAATGATTCCTAGTAAATAAATTAATTAGAAAATAAATATAGACTTGATGGAAACAATAGCAAAGAACGAGGCATCGAAGCATCTTAAAATTGTAAAGTTAATTAATTTTTGTTGTGTAACAGCGAAAGAGTTAAAGAAAGAGCAGTGTTGAACCCGTTGACTTGAATGTACCTGATCCCTGAAAGGCAAACTCGCGAAAGACGGAAGATTCTTGGCCCACTTTACAGCCATGAAGAGCAACCTAGCACTGGTTTCGTAGACCGTTTCGGCGCTAGCAGGCGAGTACAACGAGGGAATCACAGGTGGAATTTGCGTGCAACCGCTCCTTTGGGGTGTCAGTGGCTCCTCGTTTGTCACGTCTATACTATCCTCGGATGCGTTCCCTATTGCGCAGAATTATTATATGAACCGCCATTACGTTGAAAAAAAGAGAAGCGTGAATTACTTTTACTTTTCGTCGAAATAAAAAGAAATATATTCGTCGAAACATTTTTCTTTCACTTAATTGATCGACAGAGAAGATATAAAATGGACGAATACTTATTGTTAAAAGACGAACGAGTTATTCTTTTCAAAGTCAAACGACAAAAATAAAAAATGTTTAGAATAGAAAATCTTTCTTTTTTTTTTTTTTTGTTCGTTTAATTGGTAAAGTAGAGATAAAAATGGATGAATACCGTCTTCGTTATCTTGCCGCGGTGGCGTTGGAGGATTCGTCGAATTTGTCGTCGGCGCAACGGTGGGTAAAGGCAATGGTGTCGTGTATCTCGCCATGGCTAGAGACACAGGTGGTCTGAAAGATCACATTTTACAGACTTTACACATTTATCAATTCGAATCATTTCTAAAAAGTATATTTTGAATCTTCTCGCGACCATCTATGATAAACATTAGTCATACATCCCATGCACAGCAAAAATTGCTACGAGTAATTATTAATTGATCGTTTTGATAATTCGGGAGTTAAAGTACACACAACCAAAGGAAAATTAATAATTAGGGACCTGGAATTCGATTGGTGTGCCGTTCAAGCAAAGTTCTACAAAACAGGATCGATTGTGCGCGCGACTCGCGACAACTTTAATTTGCTCGCACGCGAGTTTCGTTTGCATACTTTCAGCGTGGTGTGCCCGCGTAGAAATTTCGTCTCGTCGAATTCGGGTAGGTAGGTGGGCGAATATAGGTCGGTCTGTACGAGAAATACGATCGCGATTTGCATCTTCCGCGGACGAATCGGTTGAAATCCGATTTCGAGTCGAGACTGTCGGAGAAGCTGAGAGATCGCAGATGACGGTGTGTGATAAAATTGCGGTTAATGTGCGAACTAGGCAGGAAGAACGAAAGTGAGTGTGTCTACGTAAAATTTACAGAGTTTATTATACGTCGTGTATTCGAGCATTCCTGACACTCGTATTATTTGATTAAATTAATTCCAACACATGACGGTACGATCTCTATTTTTTTGCCCAGGAATGTTATTATTTAACAATAATTTTCACAATAATTGCAGAGTTTCATTTCACTAATGTCAACGTTAATTAAGGACAGGTCTTCGCTGTTCCATCATTTCGTTTTTTTAATATTTCATATATCCACGTAACCAAATGTTGCTGAAGTTAGATCTGAAAATTACAGGGATTACAAAAATTATTTGCACGCTAAGTGAATTCAGTCCAAGTATTAAGTTTCGTGTCGTTTATCAAACTTCAAAAATCTCGTATGATCGCAAAAAAAATTTGGTAAGAATCTGACGAAAGGACGCCGCATTGTGCAAATACTCTTTGTGGTCAAGGCATTGGCACGTGGTCAACTCAGATCCCAGATCGTTCCTTTGATCCAGGAACAAGCATCTCTGAACGAAACGATCGCCGCCACCCTGTCACGTGCCACGAAGTCCGTCGCTGACCAGGGCAAGGTCAATGCCCCGTTATCCGTGCTACCATCCAAGATGGCGATTCCGAACAGCCGAAACTTCGCCAACTGCTACATGGAACTGTGCAAACAGCAACGTCTGCGCCCGTTGCCGGTCATCTGCGTCACCTTGCCTCACAGCCTAGACTTCACCACCGACCGTGTGAAGATGGACGACTGGGGACCGATCTTGAACTCCCTGTCGCTCGATCGTAGCCTACGATCGATCAGCGTGCGCAGCAGGTACCAATGCCGCAAACCGTTGGAGGAGATCAACTCGGAAGACAAGGTGAGAACAATGGGGAAGGCGCCGGTCGTGTTGTCCAGATACTTTCTCGAATGGTTGTCGCACAGCGTGGCTCAGTGCGTGAGGAACTCGCCTGTTCTCACTAACTTGGAGCTGGAGGGTATCCCCTTCCCGCCAGACTGCTTGGCGGTGCTCTGCGTTGGCCTGTCGCACACGCACACGCTGCACTATCTCTCCCTGCAGCGTTGTTACATCGGCGACAGCTCTTGCGAGGTGTTGTGCCGCACGGTGGCCGACGTGACGAGTATCCGATCGCTGAATCTCAGCTACTGCGACCTGACGTACAAGTGCGGGCCAGCATTGGCCGCTGCGTTGTGCAGGCAGAAGTTGCTGCTCTACCACGACACTTGGAAACAGTCGCTCAGGTACCAGGAACCGAACCTCGAGGCGATGCCAGGACTACGTCGTTTGACGTTGAACGACAACCCTCAGCTGGGTGATGCGGTGGTCGTCGAGCTGATAGAAGCGGTGAGGGACAGCCTTTGGTTGAAAGCATTGGACCTGCAACGCTGCGGGCTGACCGACCAGGTCGGCAAGGATCTCTTGGAGTTGTTGGATCATAACAACACTCTGAGTGTATTGGACGTTCGGCAGAACGTGAACTTGAACGAGGCACTAGTGAAGGAGGTGATCAAGAGGCTGGAGGAGAACAACGCGGAGGTCAAGTCCGAATACAGATGGTTAAGTCTGCCAAAATGCGATCGGCGAGTGGCGTCCGCTGGCGAGAAGAGGAACGAGAATCGCAGGGAACCTCCAAGGATCAGGCCGCGCAGCGCTGTAACGGAATACAAGAGGCCTTATCAGCCAGCCCACCCTAAAAGACCGAGTCTGGCCAATCTAGCGAACAACGTGAAGAAAACGAAGACGAGACCTCACGTTCCGCCGTATAACAGGCAGCCGCGTCAACAGCAGCAACAGCAGTACGTACAAAACAGCCAGGCCAAGTCGAAGATGTCTCTCCACCTGGATCTTCAGTCGCGCATTCAATCTGTGATGGGCGACGCTCGCCAGAGTAACGTTCGATCGTACGCGGACAGTGTCCAACTGGACACCGACAGGTCTGCTTCTTCGAAGAATTTAGAGTCCTCGACAAAGATCGATGCTGCGACTCAGACCGCCGACGATCATCCAGATACCGAAGATTCAGCAGAAGACGTCAGGATTCAGAAGATCCAGATTCAGTTGGTCGAGGCGAGGGCCGAGCACGATCGTCTCCTCGAGGAGATAAGTCGAAGCGGTTTGCTGCTGGCCGAGGAGCGCGAGCAACGCGAGGCTGCCGAGGAGCAGTTGAACGCGATGAAGAGCAATCTGACCGAGCTGGAGAACGCCTTGAGAGAAAAGGAAGAGAAAACGAACGGGTATCTGCTGCTTAGCCAGCAGTCTTTTGAGGAGATTTGCAGCTCCTTTGATAGGTTGCTGAGCATGCTGGACACCGTGACGAAGAATTCGAGCGCTAATCGAAAGGACACGGTCGAGGCGGCCATTGTCAGGGCTGACATAAAAAGGCGGGTCGCTTCTGTGATCCGAGAAACGAAATCGGAGAATCTCAGGCGGGGATTCATCGTGGACGTCGACGAGGACGATTCGATCCGTTACGCGGAACCGATGAAAAAATTCGCCAAATCGGAGAGCGACGTGAGATCATCGTTGCCGCCGATATCGATGTTGCATTTAGAGAGGAAAATTGGCGACAGTTCGGACGTGTGTTCACCGAATTTGCAGAGAGTCCTGCGTCACGAGAAGGATACGATATCACCAAGAGCGAGGGCCAGGGCGTTGTTCGCTCAAATTATTCAAGGGGACGCTGTGCTGGACTTTTGCACTCACATGTATTAGTATCTGGCGCGGATTCGAAAAACTGGGAGTAAGATTCTGCTTCAGGGGCGTACGGTATACGAATGCGTAACTTAATATAAGTAGTAATATACGTGGCATAGGAAACACGCGAGTAGACACGCGTCGAACCCGACTTCCAGCTGGAAAACTATCCTTTTTAAGCTGAAGCTTCGTCGATCGAGCAACTATCGAGCCGACAGCTGGAACTGAGAGACGTTAATACAACAGAGAGAAACGATAAAATATTTTATAAACTGATTTCGGAAGAAAATTTACACGTGTATATGTATGTATGCGCGTCGAAGTTGACGGAGCTTTTTTGAAGTATTATAGATTTTTACATGTAAGACGCATCGAATTGAAACAAGTTCGACGATGATGCTTCCATGAGTTTGAAAACGTATCGATGACTAAACGTTCAACGAGAAGTCGCGAAGTTTTGTACCGATTTGTATCGCTTCCTTTCTTTTTTTTTTTCTTTAAACTCCGCTATTGTAATTGAAATAAACGGCATTTATCATTTTCAACGGGTGTTGTAACGTTATAATTAGCTTGCCGCGGAAATTTATTTTCCCCGATCGATCGTAGTTTCTCTCGTTCCCATTGTGCTACACCTTCCGTGAAATTTCCTTCGTTATGTGGGTCATCGCCGCTTTCAACGTAATAATCGTAGGTTAACGTGCAAATAAAGAGCCCGATCGAGCCTGTACAGCTTCAATACAATTCCGGATCTATATCCGGATCTGTAGCGAGTGGATAAGAAAGGAGCGAAAGGTTGAAACGTCTTGCGAGTGTTCCACGATTTCGCTAAAGAGAGGTATTTACGTATGTAAATACATCTCTTGCGACTATTTGGATTTCGACAACGAAATGTTCGGTATCAACGAAAGCCAATTCGGTGACAATCGTAAATTCCAACGATCTCTCATTCATATCGGCTCTGGCTTTAAGGATTTGTTTTTTGAGAGATATATCTATCTTCTTACACGTATACGAAATATAGGAAGTGTAACGTTTCGAGATTGTGTGGTGAACGTCTATTAGGCTTGTTAAAATTAAGCTTGTCAACCCGTGCAAAATGTCGTTTCCACCACCACTCTCTGTAACTGACTTTTTCTAAAAATATTCGAACGTTTTACGCACGAGCAAACTTCTTTTTATTCGACGTCGGTACACATTCTATAGAGTAATTATAATATCGTGTATAATTGCGTAGGAAAGAACGGAATTGTTTCGCCGTGGAAGCTAGATGCTCAGCCACAACTCGCCACTGATCAATCTCTATGGACACAATATTTCTGGATCTCCTTGGTGCTTTTATATTATGTCACGCTAAATGTGAATTATGTCATACATATATTTAGAAGAATTAAAATCGATCTGGCTAAAATTAATTGTCCTTTAGACTTCTAAATGATGAATCTGTTAACAGCAGAAAATTTCTTGTCACGTGGCGCATCTTTTCAATTGTTCAATTCTTTCATTTCCCAAGAAACGATCAATCTTACGTTTAAGTCATTCTCGGCTGCTAACTAACAACTAAAATTTCGCTGCAATTTAAACGGGCGTTCAGATGAATAAAACCAAAGAGGAACCGAGGAAACGATCGCGTCTATAGTTATCCGAGATCCTCGCTCCATTTCTTCCAACGATGCACGACACACCGAGCGCGTCGTGATATCTTTTCGCACGTCGGAGTACACCGTACAGCGTATTGCGCGTATTTAGGTGACGCAAAGACGCGATGAATCGTCGAATGGATCCATGCGGTCAGTGATGGGGTGGGGGATTAAAGGTAACGGCGAGGGCTTGCCGATCGATAATCGGCGATTCATCGGGAGCAACAACGATAAGAGCAAGAGAGGCGACGACGTTGTTGGCACGTTTGATCTTCTGCTGCACAGCAGCATAGTTTTCGCCGTCGTGAGCAAGCGCGCTCGCGACACGCCACGCCGAGCGTGATCTATCATGAAAAATTACCTTTGACTAGTAGCCCGTGGCTGACCGTTTTTCAGGTAACCGAGTACTCAGGTTGGAACTAATGGAAAATCCATAGAGCGCCAAGGGGTGAACGTTAAAAGCGACAGCGAGCGTGCCGACGATGGCTCGGCGTCGATAGCCGCAGCTTTCCTCGAAATTATCACCTTTTCCTTTCTCTGCGTTGTCTCGACGTGATTGCTCCAGTTTCTCCCTTTGTCGTTGCTTCTCCTCAGTTATACCTTTACACGCTTCCCACGAAAGTGACACGATTCAAACAAACTCGTCATTTTCAACTCGAATTATTACTGCGAAAATTATTGGAGAAATATTTTTTTCAACCAATCGAGATGTAAATTTTATTTTAGAGAGGGCGGAATTGTGTTGCTCTTCCTTCTTGACCGTCACTGTGGATCGTGTGATCTGATTGTGTTTCAAAAACAGTCTTTCTTCTGGAAATATTGAATTTTCGAGCTGTGCCATTTTCTATCGCACGCGATATTGAGTTCCTTGTAAATGCACAAACAGTCCTAACACTGGGATTAGTTGCAAACTCGCTTTAGCTTATTTCAATCTATTCTTGGTATTGTTTCTATTGAGAAGCCACACACGTCAAATAAGTTCATTCGGCGAATGAAAAAGGCGTGGGAATAAGAAGCTAATGGCTTACCCAAATACACCGACGGCGACTGCTGCCTCACGAAGCGCGCGTTCCTGGTCCATCTCGACGAGAGCCTCTGGTCTAATGGTGGCAGTGTTTCTCGGTTGCCGTTCATTCTGTACCGCTGAAACAGAAGCGCACACCTTCGATGTAACGTCGATAACAGGCGTTAATTGCAGCCACGAATTAATTACACAGGGCCGTAACGTCGCCTCGCGCGCCAGCGCCATCGAGCGTAATGTTCTTTTGGGAATTTGCGCGCGGCAACGACGTGAACTACACATCGTGATTAATTGCTTGTCAATCCACAAGAAAACGAACGATCTCACTCGAGAGTTTCCACCAACGAATCAGGATGATCGTTCGATGTATTGGTAACGTGAAAAAGGGTCAATGAAAATTGATTCTGGCTCTTTGCAAATTGAGAATTTTGCTCGCTCCTGAGGAGAATGTTCAGATTAATAGTTGCAAGTAGACACGATAAAAAAATTACAATGGAAAAGTGAAAGGTATACCCAGATATGGTAATATCGCGTAACGCAAGTTTCAATCGAGTTTCCTCGTTTCATATTTATTACAATCGATTTATTGAAATTCTTTTATTCTTCAAAAATTTCAATTCAAGTTCAAAATTCAATCTTCAAGAAAGTTGCCACGAGCGAATTTACTGTAACCTGTTTGAATTAAAATCTCATTAAACTAAGATGAAGTTTTATCGTTACTCGAAACATCATGTGAAGGGAACGCGTCCTTAACAAACAGCAAGGTTCAGCGTAACAATTCACCTGTAAACGTCAAAACGCGGATCTGAATTTTAGATGACCAAGTTCGCAATATAATAACTCCCCTTTTAAGCATTATCGGCGTCGAGTTAGTCCAGCGCGCGTTGTCCGGTCGCTAAAATTAAGCAACGCTGTGATATTCGCGTTAATAATATTATGCAACACAACGCAATTCGAAGAACGTTTTCGAGGTTTCCTATTCCTGCGGGACAAAACGATCAGCTAAACAAGAGACAATCGAGCGCCGTTCACGATAATGCTCTCTCGAACAGTACATTCGTATTACACGAGAATATCGCCTCTCCCCCGTGGAGTTTCTTGGTTATTGAAATATTAGTGGAGTTCGCTGGTTCGACGAGTCTTGCCAGATTAATCGGGGAACAAACGATTGGCCACCACCCTCTCGTCAAATTCACGTAACGCAGCGTTATATCACGCCAGCGGCCTGCGACTGACAAGCGTGAATTTAACAGACGTGTAGGAATCAGCCGCGTTTATTGTTTGTATATATTGCCGTTCGATAACTCCCATTCGGCTGCCAGCTAACGGGAGAAGAGAGAGGATCCATCTCTGGGAACAAACTTTATGCATCGTGGACTACGGGAAAATCGAGCAATATTCCCTTCCTTGTATTTTCAGCGGCGTGTACTTCCCGTTGGAGTTGAATTAATACGAGGAGGAACCGAGAACCGGGAAGAAGAGGGACTCTGTTTCGTTCGTTTAATGTTTAACTTGGCGTTCTAAGCTTTGAAAATGGTTTTATCAAGGGTGAAATGAAGATACTACTGCTTGGAATTTGAAGATGGAATTTTAAGATCGACAAAAAACAAAAAACAAAAATGGTATGAATGGTTTGTCGATTATTGCTATATTATTATTGGATATTAGAAATTTATTTATTCAGATTGATATAAATTTGATATGAAAGGCTTGAACTTGAATTTTGTTTGTATCAAGAGACAAAGTAGAGACGAAGTTATTGTTGCTTCGAAATTTGAGACGTGTAATGATGAATTGTGAGAAGCGAATTGTGTAGGTAGAAAAGTGAAAAATAATATCTATATTAAATGTTACAGTTGAGATTTTAGTTATATAAAGAAGTTAATTAAAGATGAGATATAATTGTTCGAAATTTTCTGTTGTTTCAACACAAAAATAAATTGCAGGTAGAATTTTGATGTATAATGAACGTTAAAGTTCCTTTTTTTTTTTTTGTATCGTCTGACGAGACTGTCATAAGGTATTTATACAGTTGCGAAAGAAAAAAATTGCGTTATATTTGACAGAAGATAACTCAGACGATGCATAATGAGATACAAGACGGATATATATATTTTAATAACATTGAACAAAGAACATGCTCCACTTATTTTTTCCTTCCGTTCCTTTAATTAATTTATCATTTTCATTGTTCGCAAATACTTTCGAGAAACGTATGAAAAAATACTCAACACGCAAAACGAACATACTTGTACTAAATTTTTAACTCTCCCAATTTTTATATATTTAGATTTGTATATTCAAATTTTACCAATTACTGTAGCAAGGTTAGTAAAATTTTAAACTGTCCCAGTTTATGCTTTAATGTTCCCAAAAATATCTACAAACGTTTCAGCACTTTCTCGATCCATTGTTTAAATCCCGATGGATCTAGAAATCTTCCTCGTCGCCAAAGAATTACGAAACATCTGAAAAATTTATAGTTTCGTTGAGGAAGCTCATCTGGAAACAGAAGTTAGAGTGGTCAACGTCTTCGACTTTCCGAGACGCGACGCGTAGTCCCGGAAGAGAGAGGACTCGTGACGCCGGGCACATGTTAATGGCGCCGCGATTAGGGCACTCAGTGGTGTGTAATGGCGAAGCGGAATTCTTTCTTCCTTTTTTCTTTTTTTTTTTCTTCCTTCTTGCAGCTTGTCCCTTTTTAGCGTGGCACGGGTGCACAGTAATTTCGTAATAATAAAAAGCGTGTGCCGCGGCTCGCTTTACCTACGCGTCGTGCTGCCTGCTGAGCGGCTTAATAGGATCCTCCTACTTCGTCAAGCCTTTTGCATCCGACTATCCGGTCTCTTTCTCTCTCTTTCTTTTTCCTCCTGTTTTGCCGGGGGCTTTCTTCCCCCTGGCTCGCCCTCGCTCTCTCACTTTTTCTCCCGTTTACCCTATGCCGGCGGAAAAGATAAACGCCCTTCCGCACCGGTCGCGTTTTCCCCGGGAAAAATTTTTCTTGCCCGCGCGTGTAACGCGTCGCGCTTTCCCTTTTGTCTTTTTAACTCTTCAGTCCGCTTATTTTCACACGCCCCCCATCTTTCTTTTCCTCTTTTTTTCTTCCCTCCCTCTGTCGTCTTCCCTTTTCTTCCTTCTTCTCTTGTCCTTCCTTCTTTCTTTTTTCTTTTTTTTGCCGCTTTGACTTTCTTTTTTTAAATGCATCAACCCGGCGCGGTGATTCGAGGGTATTTCAGGGCACCCACGGGGGGGTAGACTTCACCCCGGAACACGTAACTCGGAAATAGATTTCGGATATCGCCGTGGCATTAGGTCGTGGTATTATGGTCTTGTAAAATGTTAGTACAGGCGTTGCGTTCTTTTACAAGAGAAGCAATTTCACGTCAAAAGTAATCTTCTCGTTTGATTTTGGAATGAAACGTGTGTGTGTTTCTTCTTGCTGCACGAGTCAATCATACAGTTTCAAAAATCCTCCTCGGTATCGTGTACAGTGCATGGTCAATAATAATTGGAGATAAAGAGAAGCTGCAGCCGTAATAAATTTTCTCTTTTCTATTTCGAGCATAGTCGTCGTCACTTAATATTTAACAAAAGTTCACGTAGCGTTTTGAAACTTTCCATCACTTCCCTTCGCCAGTAACAAAGAGTCCGAGTGACCGATCAGCAATTCCATTCATTTACCGGCACAGCGCGTCGCGTAATTCCCAAACGTAAATTACAATCGTTAATTCTTCTCGTTCGATGAAATAGAGCAGACTTTCTCTAACCCTTCCTCCCATTGGTGTCGGCGCGGCGTCTCTACTTGCGACGTACGGTGTGCAGTAGATCTCACACCGGGATAGATAAACGCCCTTTTACAGATCGTTTCACTCTCATTTGCGTGAAGCTCGCCGTGGGAGGTCTGCCTCCCCTTTTTCACTTTGCTTCTTCCGCATTTTCTCTCTCCCTTTCTTCCTCGCCCACCGTTATGACACAATTTGCGGTCGGCTCTCCTTCACTCTCCGCCTCACGGATTCCTCGCCGCGTCGTCGTCGTCGTCGTCGTCGCACGCGCCGCTGACAGTCCTTTAAAGGGCGCGGCGACGGACGACGAGCAACGAGCGCGCGGATTTTTTTCGTACGAGGACTGGTCGCACGTTGCATACGTTTATTTCCCCCAATTAACCCTTCGGGGCTTGGCGACGGCCACGCGACCGTCGCTAACGACCGCCGTGTTTACCACGGCCGGCGTCGTCGTTTTCGCCCGCCGCGGCCAACCGCACCCGTTCTCTGCATGTGGCGAGTCACCGCCGTATGCGGTGTTTGTGCGGTGTTTCTGCACTCTGCACACGCGGATTTTCATCGGAGCGATTTCACCGTTGCGTGACGCGCGATAACGATCATTTCGAGGATTATCCTCTCGCGTGACAATGGGAATTTGGATATTTCGTTGCCTACTTTATGTTGCAGTTAAATTTGGATATGAGTTCGTGTAATTCTCGATATTTTTTTTTTAATTTGTCTGCGTGTTTTCACTACACATCATGAAAATATTGAAATGTTTGTGACAACAGTTTGCGAGTAGTATGTTGCGCGTGTTGGAAATAAATGTTTTGAAACAACGCCTTTTGAATTGATTAGCAAATCTGTGATAATTCCTCATTGAACAGGATTTCTGTCAAAAATTCGTTCACGCGTATCTTCTGTACTAAAAATTACACCATCGATTGTTTTTCACTATTGTCCTCTTTGTTAATTGTCAGGCGTTTTATTTATTTGAAGAAATAAAAAAAAAGAGCGTTTAATACACGTTTAATAAACAAAATTGCAATATTTTATTCAATAACTATATATTTAAGTATAAATTTATTTAACTATATATTTAATAACTATATATATAATTAGTATATATATAATTAACTATATATTTAACTATAACTCAGGCAAAACAAATTTATTACTTCTCAATAATTCCTATCCAAAGAGAAAGCGACGAATTATTGAAATTGTATACGGTCACTCGTTATGGTCCGCAATCAGTTGCCAGCGCACAACTGGTTAAAAATACAAATTTAAAAGTACTAATTTACGCGCGACGTGTACGTATTTTATTAATACACGTTGAAAATCACGATCTCGCGAGTGTTGACGATAATTTGGAAAATGGAGGGCACCGCGAGGGATGGTTTGCCAATAATTCTCCCCGGGTTATCGATACCCGGTTAGATTATCTATTTCCGCAGGTAAGCCGGTATTCTGGGAATCAATCAACGGCCGCGTTTTTCACTTTGCCCCTCGGAATTCGAAGCGTAGGGTTCTTTATGTCGGCGACATAAATAACTGGATAAAGGAGGAGCGATTGGCGCGGGTCGGCTCGGCCCGCTTTGGCGGCAGCGTTCGATTCAACTCTTAATGCCTTCTCAGCCAGCGAACCGGCGCACCTGCCACGCCAAAAGAGCATTTCCCCCTTTTTCCATCGTTGTTCTATCGTCTTCTTCTTCTTCTTCTTTTCTTCCTTCTTTTCCCCCCGTGGAAACTTGTCCCGCGGCGCGCCGCCAACTTTCTTATTGCCGAACTTGACGTCGTAAGAAGAAATACTTGCAATTGAATCCAGGTTCCCATGGCGACCGCTACGGCCACGTTTCTATAGAACGTCGATCGTTTTCCCCGGGAAATTAAATTGGCCAGCGTCGGGAGTTACACTTCGCGACGAGCGCCGAGATATTACGCAAACTTTTGTCATTTCATCTTATCGAGATTCGCCATCTTATCGTGACTGTTTCGTTGCAGACAGTGCTTGTAGATTGTTGTTTGATTAATATCGTTTCCTGGATGCTTCCGTTTCCGCCGTGATGATTCTGTTCCATCGGGTTGGATGGATGTGTTTATTCGCGGAAATTGCCGATGTGTGGTACAATAGGAGGAAATTCAAGCGACAGAGGCACAAACATTGGCATTTCTTTGAATTTCGTTAGAAGACGTGGATACCACGGAGTCAAGAGTGTAATATAGCCGAATGAAAAATATTTAATTGGAAAATAAAGGTATGTGCAACGACTGTAGACATTTGAGAAATGCTTCTCATTTAATTTGAATTTTAGTAAGATCTATGTTTCATCTATGCGACGTAGTATTTGAAAGTTGGTCAGTTTTAAATTTTGAACATGGATGCTTCTGACTTTTTTCGAAGTTTCGTTAGAGAAACGGCGACGCTTCGTCTACGCAGTTCGATTAGCTCGTAAAAGTCGATTAAAAGGAAAGTAATTTGTTTTATGCTCACCATACAGCATCCATGAAGTGGAAGAGACATGTTCTTTAAAACGTAACAAAAAAAAAGAAAACGAGTTTCTATTTAGAACGAGTTTCTCTCAAGCGCTGCTTAAATAAGAAAACTTAATCATCCTTTACAGAATTGCTTTTTGTTTCGTCTAAAAATCAATTCTGAAGTTTTCCGCTTTCCGTTCGTGTTTGAACATTTTGAACAACTTCGTCGAACGTGGCGATTGAAAACTGAAATTTTCAATGCACGGGAAGCGAGATTATCCATCGCAAGAAGTTATCCCAAATGTATGAACTTTTTACAATGATCTTTCAACAGTATCGTCGTAATATTGTTCTTTAAATTAATGTACAACGAGGAACAAAAACTGCAACGAGGGAAATAGAAGACACGAGGCAATTTTCGTGTATATATATTTCCCGTGTAATGTTCGACTCAATTACTCACCGTCCTTATTCATTCCCATCTGCATGCATTTCTTCAAACGGCACGCCTGACACTGATTTCGGTGAGCTTTGTCCACGACACATCTTCCGGTACCGGCTTGACATCTGAACATAAAATTTTGCGATAGATACATAAGAAGGTTCCGGAAGCAAAGAACCTTCGCAAATTACCTGGACTTTCCCACGGTATTATATATAACTATATATAACTATAACTTCTCGATTCTATTAATGTTACTAACTCGTCGAACAAAATTCAAACGTTGGTCAATTAAAAATTTTCATCATTATCTTTAATTTTGTCAAATCTTCATTTTATGTACATCTTCGTTTTCCACAGCTGTGGAAAGATATTAATAAATACGACAAACATTTAATTTCTAAATATATATTTATTTTTTTATTCAACAAAAGTAATAATATATTTATAGATATTCAGATCATTTATTTTCGAGATAATTAAATTATTAAAATAAATTAATTGACCCTGATGCAAAAGGTACAAATTATATTTTACTTATAATTTTTTAAAAAGTATATTCTCATTACTTTAATTATAAATAATTTTATTAATTTTAAATTATTACTATAATATTTTTTAATATTTATTATAAAATTTTATTTATTTATATTTATTAGTATTAATAATCATATCGTACTAAATTCAAAGTTTCGTCAGTGTCAAGATTCAATTCTTCTTAATTTTATTTAATAGAAACTTTCGTCGCAAGTGTAATACGATATATAAAATTAAATTACACGAGAATTCAGGTATTCTTCAACTTTTGTTAGAAGAATTTCTTTTTAAGAAGATTTTCATTTCTATTGTCAGTCTGATTAAAATAATAAGCTATCATATTAAATTCAAAGTTTCGTCGTAAGTGTCAAGACTCAATTCTCCTTAATTTTCTTTAATAGAAACTTTTATCGCAAGTGTAATTAGATACATGAAATTCAGAAAAGATGTATGGAAATCGCACGTGACTTTTGTTAGAAGAATTTCTTTTTAAGAAGATCTTCATTTCTGTTGTCAGTCTCATTAAAATAATAATTTTATGTCGAGCGTATGTCGTGAATGACAATGTTGTCAGTGAGAAAAAGTCGAATGGAAAGAAGCTCTTTCGATTGTCGAAGTTGATCGATCCTTGACGACGACGTTTCATCGACGACCATCGTAACTTGATGGCTGTTGTCCCTTCCGAAAAAGCGACAAATTTCGAGCGCACTTGCCGGATGTCCTGGCGGCGCACTCAGAGGATGGCGTTAAATTCGATTACTTTCATTGTTCGGATAACCCGGTTATCCTTCCGAGCTGACTAACGTAAAGAGCCGACAGCTCGGGGTCACGTACCTTCTTCTTATCCCTCTTAATTTCATCGAATCCCGCGGTAGTCTCGTGATGCTTCGTTTCTTAGGGTGTTCACACAATCACTTCCTCTTTTCTTTCTCCTACCGACTAACGACGTAAAAATCGAACGCACGTGAATCATTGTTATTCGCTGTATTATATATCTTCGTTCTATTTTGTATCAAGAATCACTCGAAAAAAACTTTAAATATTGAAATAACAAAATTTCTCTTTTCTCTATAATTTACGATTGGAAACTCATTGATTCTCCTTCGTAGACGTTTGACGCTATCTAACGTATGTAAAATTAGTAACAATCCTCCGCATATTTTATAAAATTGACGAGGGTCACGCAAAATCGAATTTTAACTCTGCCACTTTATAAAAAAATTCTCGAACGCAAGAAAAGAACAGAGATTGAAATCGGAGGAGAAAGTTGCAAAATCTCATCAGTTAAGAGCAGACAATTGAATAGAAACGAAAGTCAACCCTTCCTGGTTCCCATGGACGAACGGGAGAGAGAGAGAAAAAAAAAGAAGGATGTGCACGGTGGTAATTCGACGGTAATGGCCCGGGGCTGGATCGGGGCGGTGGATCTCTGTTAGCGCGATTTTAACTAACGTCACTCAGAAAGAGGCGGCTTGATCCAGCGGCGCGACGAAAGGACGCCACTGTCCTCTCCTGAAACTATCTTGTCCCGAGGCGGTGGAACACGAAGGGCACCGAAGGGTGGCCGCGTGCTGCCGTGCCAGCAGGGTTCCTCTCGCAAATTGATTTGCGTTCACACCCCAGCGAGCCTCCGCTGTGCCGCCTCTGGCCCGTGCAACAACGGGGGAGAGGCGCTCAAATCACTCTTCGGCATTCACCCTTCAGAACCACATCATACATTTATTTACGCATCTCTCTATTCTATCGTTGGCCCGGCATTGTTTGCTTCATCGAGTTACCGGAAGCATGTGCTGGCTGTTATCGAGTCCGGAGATCGCCACCGTCCGGAGATCACTTCGATGACTTAACCCCTTTTCTGAGACATAGAAATCTGCTTGACGATTGGACTAGCGGGGAGCTGGTGTATGGTTGAATTAGCGAATTTAGTCAGGGATTGAAAGAGATAAAGAATTCATGAATTGAATTGGTGGATCACATCCTTCTCTTAAGATCGAAGAAACTTTAACGGAGGATAGTATGCGAAGGTTGGTGAGTTAACAAGTTCAGTTGATGTACAGTAAGGAGCAACATTGAATCAATAACAAAAAATTTTTAAGAAACATATTTCTTATTATATTGTTAAGTAAAGTGTAAAAACGTAAAAATAAACTTTACTATCTGATTATTTATAGTTTTAGGAAACTGAAGCTATTTTGTAACTTTTCAGATAAGATTTCTTCCTGGTTGAAAAAATTGAAACATACAGAATCAGTTTTGCGCCGGAATTGTTTCATGTTTTCAAACTTTATTCAACAATAAAAAATATTTTTCTCAAAAATTTTCACTGTACATGTGGCAAGTAAAGATTAAAGACTGAAAGAGATAAAAGAATCGATAAATTGATATGGAGATGTCAGTGACTTAACTCTTTTCTGAGATCAGGAAATCTAGTGGAGAAGAAAATTTGTAAAAACTTGTAGTTCAATTAGCGATTGGTTGAAATCATTAATTTTGTCGGCCTATATGCGTTAGAGATTGAAGGAGGTAAGAAATTAATAAATTGGCGTGGGTGGAAATTACAACTATGGATCATTTAATCACTGAGATCCAAAAATACGGTGGAGAATAGAACGTGGAGGCCGATTCGATTGATCTACGTGGCGAGTAGGCGTCAGAGATTGGAAGAGGTAAAAATTAATAAGCTAACATTGATGGAGTTCATTTAATGATTTATCTTCTTTCTGAGATGCGGGAATCCGAAGGAGTATAGAACGTTGAAGGTTGATTTAATTAGCAAATAATTGAACTGTAGATGTAATAATTGAATTAACGTGGTTTGACGATTATCTTTTATGAGATAACGAGGATCAGATTTTACTCTCGAGCCTTGATTTTCTTTTTATAATATTTTATTTCATTTTTGTGTTCATGAATGTAGTTCTTTGAGAAATTTCAAATAAAAATATATATTCCAATAAATTCGAAATAAATATTCAGTGTACATAAACATATGAGTAGGTGGAAATTTAATCAATTCAGTTCCAATTTCTATTAATCAAGCTAAGAATAAACTGGATGTTACAATGATGTGTATTAAATCAGTCAAAGACGTACATTTTAATATTCACGTCGATAGAAATCTGCCACCGATGCTTCCGACAAGAGAGAAACACTTGTGTATATCGAACACAATGTTGGAACAGTTGATCCATCGCGTGCAAAATTCAAGTGTGCCCCAATGGGAGTTGGTGCGAACTTTCCACGCAATCTGGATCATGCACGATCTACTAAATTGCATCTAACCGATCCGTGAAGTTGGACTTTAATCTGACGATTATAGTCGATACGCGACCGCGGCGCATCACGTCGAGACACATCTGTCGCGGTTCTGTGTCCCCCCCTTCGAGTAATTGGTTATCTGTGCGAAGGCTCTTCACTTTTTACCGCGTTACGTTCGTCCGATAGGAATTGATAACGAAGAATAAAAGAACGGAGCAATGAATCACGTGGTCTGTCGAGTCACATATTACGATTTTTAATTAACAAATCAAATAGACGATTATTTTTTTATAAAATAAAAATTCGTCCCTGTGTGACGTTTTCAATTAACATTGACAATTTTTAGATAACAAATATTTCGTTACTTTACAGTGTTTCATAAATTTCTCAATATTAATAATAAACTTCTTTCAAACGTATTTTTTATAAAATCCTTTCAACCTCTCGCGAAAACCCTGCAAACGTCTCTAAACTTCACCCATCTCCCTCGTTCCTATAAAATTTCCAATCAGACTCCAAGAGAACCTAAAAATTATCGCCCGATTCTCCGCGTCCCGTTCAACTCAAAAATCTCGACAGATCCGCTGGAGGACATTCAATACTTGGTTTCGTTGACGATTGTTCGCAGTCTGGTCACGTGCTGGAAGCTGTAGCATTTATTTTTCGAGCATCGGCAGGGTTAATAGTTTGTATATCGAGCATCCATGGCATCGTGTATCTCCTCGACAGGCTTAACGCGCACACCTATGGCTGCCTGGTTATCGATAGTCACGTATACGTAGTCAAAGGGATGCACGCACACGAGCCAACAGCCGGTGGGCTCGTACGTGGGCCCCGTGTAAAACGGATCGAGCGTATCAGACAGCGATTCCGAGGCTGAGAGGGATCCGATGGAGATGGATGGCCGTTCCCAGGGGATGGTAATAGTACGTCGTATACACAGGGCGGCGGGTTAGGTGGATAGGTCCTCCAGGGTTCAACATTATGCCGTTCCGCATTGTTGCCCGGTATTACGATGAGCCCACTCGACTTGGACCACATGGCGCCACTGGCTGGCCAGTTTGACATTAAACGCCGAGTAAGAGGATCCGCTGACTAATTTCTATCTCGTACCAAGACCGGAGATTTGCCCATCTCGTGGACAGTTTCTCGGAAAACGATTTTCATCGGTGTTGTTTCGAGCGATGGTTTTCTTTTTTTTTAAATCAACGCGAACCGGTCGATTCGGTTTGTTGAGTACAATTTGAGAAGTAATCAACGGTGGTTCACGAAAGAATTTTCTACACTTACATTAAAAAATACTTTTATGTATCATGAAACATTCTGAAATTTTATTAACACTGTATCGAAAGAAGATTTTTAAATTACGAGTTATTTGTCGCAAAAAGATGAATAGCACAAATAATCATCTTTTGCATATGTTAACAATTTAGTATGTTAAATTTTGTATACGTTAAAAATTCCCTCTAAAGATTAAAGAAAAAGATCTTATTTGGATCTACGAAGCATGCATTTGTACTGAATATTTTATCATTTGTAACATGTTCATTAAAAAAAAAATCATATAAACGATCGAATAGTTTCGTGAGCAATAATATACACGTATGGTATATCTGTATTCAGTAGTTTCTATTTCGAAAAAAATATTGCTCTCACACTAAATCCAGAATATTATAAATATAAAGAGGTTGTTCATCGAAAGAATGAATAATCCAAGATCCAAGAACAAATCCAACGTCCTCGTAATATCTCGTTTTATGTTTAAACACACGTCTTTTAAAGTCTTTCATCGAACTCACCTGTATATCAGCTTCCGTCTGACGCTTCTTTTGAAGAAACCGCTACATCCGTTGCAGGCGAGAATTCCGTAATGTTTCCCGGAGCTGGTGTCCCCGCAGACCACGCATATCAAGCCGAGACTGCGCGGTGGTTTGCTGCCATGTTGCGGTTGCAGTTGCTGCTGTTGCTGTTGCTGTTGTTGTTGTTGTTGCTGCTGCTGCTGCTGTTGCTGCTGCTGAACTTGTCCTAACAAATGAGGATGTCCGTTGCCCAAAGCGGTTAAATACGGTGATCTCGCGAGTGGGAAATCCGTAGGTATTCCTCTGCAAAGTGGAACCGGACATTCTTGGACAGACCTCGAGGCATAGGGATCATGACTCGAGGTCGAGCCTGTCGCTCCCAAAGGACTGTACCGCTCTGGCAATCCTGGTGAGATGACGCTGCTCTCGCCCGAGTCTGAAAGCAAATTAATGGCTTTTCAGTTAGGTTTCCCCGTCGTTCGATGGAATATTTCATTTTTCATAAAATAACGTAGTAACTGACAAAAGTGTATTCACTTGTGGACAGTGAATACGTGACGTTTGATTGAGAGAGCAATGAAATTGTACGAGCGGCGAATGAAAGGAAGTTTAAGATTCGTTACCTTTTGCATTAAGTAAATTTTACGTTTCACATTGTTCACGTAAAGTAATTTCAATGCCAATATTTACGAATTGATTCCTAAAGTCTGGTGACCAGACTTTATACAATTGTTGAATCTTTATTGAACAAACGCGTCGAATATTTACGTAACATGTTTATACACTTCTTTGTGCTTTTAGTAAATACCAAAGATTGCAAAGAAACATCTATATTTTCTCTTGATCGCAAAATAATAATCAAGCAACTTCTGAATATAGTGTGTAATTTTAATGAAACAATTTGAGATTTACGACCTGAGCTTACGATTCACGATCGATCTTGATTCATCCTATTCGATCAGATGGCTGTTACGTTCGCCTAATCCCAGAAATCTCTTCGTGCGTTCGTGTCACCGGTTCCACCCTTGATTGATTCTCATAAGAAGGGGACCGGGACTGTACATAAAATAATTGTACGCCCATGACTCCTACACAAACGTTACGGTTCACAGGGAATAATTTACGGAACAGTTAGTCGGCATCCTGAAGATTTATGGCTGATTAAATGGCCAATGATACGACAGTTATCAGTACTTTTATATTTTTATTAAAGAAATGGAATCTAGGCCAAAAATTAATTTTAGCTCGCCAAATATCGCGACGAGCACTAAATTTTGAATATTCGTTGTATTTATTTCTGTGTATTGTGTGCGGTCACTTTAAAAATAGTTTAATAATATTAATAAGAAAGAGAAATCTGTAGATACTGTTGATGAAAATTATTGAAGTACGTACAAGAAATAATTGAAAATTTCGAAATATTTTTATTTTATAGTAAACTCTTTTTAAAGAGGGAAAATAGCAATTTGCTACTGTTCGACAATCTTTTTGGTAGCATCTCTGTACAATTGACTATGATCACTTCCATCCCCACGAGACTCGTGGTTCCTTTTTTCGCATTCCCTTAAGGCTTACCGACTGGATCGCGAGGGCAAACAATATTTACATGGAGAAATGAGTTCTTAAAAACCGCGGCATAAATATTTAGAAGAAAGAGAAACGCCAGACGATTTTGTCATGGGGAGAATACAAAGTGCTCCTTTCTCTATCCTGTCTTAAATGTTGAATCAAGTTTAGACCCCCAAACTTACTCCAACGATTTAAATGAAAAGGAAAAATCGCCATTAAAAATTGTAATTATCGTTTTATAATTGTTTGAAAAGCAAAATTTCCTCGTGGCGTTATTTGTTACTTCTCCCTGTGGCTACAAATTTTTCAACTCACTCCGACAGAAGATTTAGATTTCAATGATAATTAAACTGTGGATGTTTATTCATTTTTAAAAAGTTTAAGCATAATCCATATAATAATCCATAAAATATAACAGCAGTGTAACAATACGGTTGATAAATGATACAAATTTTTATTAGACTCGTGAAAGTATAAATTCGCGGTTCAATGACGATGAATGATTCTCAATGCAGTCCAGTTCACGATTATAAGATCAGGTAGCTAACGAAATACGTAGACTGAACGTGTTTCCGATTGGAAGGAAAGTAAATTCCACTATTGACGCGTGGCACGTTAACGATATTAATCGAAAGATGGAAATGCAAAGAGAACGGAGACCGGCAGAACATCTGCGTGATCAACGAAATGTGATTTCGCCTCTCTACTCCGGCGTTTATTAGTCACGCTGGCAGCCCCCGACGAAGCGCGAGATCTCCCCGGAATCGTATTTGTCGGCTGCATCGTGCCCGATCGAAAACTCGTTCCGGTCTCGTTAATGGCCGCGGGGTCAGATAGGATCCGTTCGAATTACCATGCGAATCGACAACAGGTCGATATCAGGTTAGGGTCCCGTTCCTGACGCGCTGCGAAATAATTTAATCGCGCCCCAGTCCGCGCGGTTATTTAAAATTGACAGATTGCACTTGCCGCTTTGCAGTTGCTCGTTTAGAAGGAAAGAAAAAATGGAAAATTAAATCGTAGGGATTCTTCTGTTTTTTCTCTTTTTCTTTTTTTTTTTTTCTCGGGGAACAGAAAAATTATTATTGTTATATACTGTTTGTTAAATCATTTATCACTGAGATATGTTTGTAATTTTCTTGCATGAAGAGAGGAGACACAGTGGTAGAAAATTAGTTGATAATTGAAGGAAAGTGTACGTAAGTTTGGAAAATATAAAAATGATAGCCACATAGGTTGAAAAGTTCGTGACCTAAGTAATGTTCTGAATTAAGATATAATAAGGTATTAGAATGTCTTTTCTATATCAATTTTTAAACAGGTACAAGAACTAAATCAGTCATCTCTTCAGAAGATAACATTTCTTACTTTCTAATGAAAAACGTCAAATCGTACAACAATTTTATCTGGGAAAATTTCTTTTTTACAAAAGATTCACACACGTGGCAGAAAACTGCGAATTGCCGTGACGACTTTACAGTATCAGATTAAAGAGATACCAATCTGTAATCGTAATCAATGATCAAAGCCGTGGAGCACGTCTGAATCGTTCGCTGACACGCGTGATCCGGCTACATCAGGAAGAATTCAATCGTATGGTTTCGTCGTTACGGTTACGGGGGATGAACTCAGAGACGATCTTATTAATGCGACTCACGTAACGTCCTAAGCGTGTCGGCTTTTCGATCTCGTTAACACCCTAATACCGGCGTACGCATACACACACCAGCGAATTACGATATCGTGAAATCTCCGCTTAAAAAGACGACCAACACTGGTCACCAATGGGAATTCTATTTTATTTGTCCACTCATTTTTAATCCCCTGTAATACCGCGCGACATAGTGGATGCATATCTAGATGCTAGAATTTTGTTCTTCCTGCCAGATATTAGTGAAACGAAATTATTTACCACTGAAATTGTTACAATCTTTTTATTTATTCCTCCATCGACATAGGCCAAATTTAATTGATTTCATGAATTGAAATTAACGAAATTCGTTAATTCACTGCTGTCCGCCAGTTCATTTTTGAAATTCTAAGATTGAGCAGACATCAAAAGGGTTGATTAAAGCCCACACAAATTTGTTATTCCAAATCCTCCGTTAAGAATAATCAGACTCCGAGGCTCTCCCACTTTATCAATCTAATTTTCTCCAATAAATCCCCTGTTACAGTATCATCCACCCCTGGAGACGCACATTTCAACCTTCCCCAAATGACTTCTAAGGTTCGCTGTAATCCTCCGCAGTCTCTACTTTCCATTCAGCTTTGTTGATCAAGAATACAACCACTCTACAATTTTCACACAAATTCTTTAAAATTCTTTGCAAACGCGTTTAAATTCGCAGCCTAACAATTGGCTACTTTTCTTTTCGAAAATTCGACGTCAGGGTAATATTATTAATCAGCTGTTAAGCGCTAGAAATCACATAACGTTGAAATGAACCTGTCTATTCGAACTTTCATTTCTTTCGTTCCTGCCTCTCTTTTAGCTCCACGCAACGCCACGCCATCAAGGCTAATCAAATCTCGACGGCAGCTCGCGAAATGCCACCGCGAGTGGCAGGATAAGGTTAGAGGAGAAGGGAAAAATGATTATGCTGCCGTATGGTGACCAACGCGCGATACGCGAACCTCGCGACGTGCACGCTAGACGAAAGCAGGGGCGTCAAATTTCATTAGCATATCAATGCTGGCGGATGGCAAGGCGCCACCTGCGCCCCTGTATTATGGGATCATCGAGGAATGGGGGAGGGTGAGGTAGCGCGCGAAATGACGACCAACAAAGGGGACGTTGGCCGAGAAGCTCGGGGGAGGAAAAAAAAGAAGGGGTTTCGTAACTACCGGCCACCACTTCGACCACCCTCCGCCCTCGCACCCTTCGCCCAATCTCGACTAATTGTTACCGCATTAGGGAGACACCGACCTCGTCTGGAATGGTGTCTCGCAACGGTAACGAGTCGCGATTTCGAACATCTGGTTAAATTCGTCTCGGCGTACTTACTGGATGTCTACAGTCACTACGTTCTTTATAGATTCGGAAATGGAAAACTACATGTAATTTGGCAAAATATTAAAAATTATATTAATAACATTATAGATTAAGATATGAAATATGAAAGAAATAAAAATAATATTTTGGAATTATAACTTGTATCCCGATTTTAACACGTCGAAATATTTTAATTGCAAATTTTTGGAATTAATCTGAAATTTCCAAGTAAGAGGACTGATAGAACGTTTGGTGATAAAGTTTAAATGGTAAAAATAAATCTGCGCCTTTGCCATCTGATTCGAATGCACAAAGAGGCAACGATCTCTCTTTCTTCGTTTGACGCTCAGGAAAATCATGCACTGCTAAATTCTTCGGGTCACTCGAAATCTGATTACTCTAATGGCATAATTTCGTTGGCCGCGCTGCACCCTCTTTTTCCACTTGTCACCCTACAACTACGATTCGCATAAAAGTACGTCGGGGGTTGATTTATATGTGTAGCTTGCCGCTTTGAACGTGCGTTAATGAAACTGTTCGTTTCTAAACGTGCGACGAGTCTGATGCTCGTTAAATGATAATTCTAAACCGAGAAATATAGATAATTGTTAATGTGGAATAATTTTGAGAAGCAATGTTTTGCTGTTTCTGAAACACTATGACGCAATGTTTTCCTTTCCTCGATCACAGAAGTGAATTCTTCCTCGATATTTTCACGTCTGAAATAACAGTCTTGAATTTTATCGGTACTTTGGATTAAACAGTTAAAAAATATGATTTTTTTTAATTCTGGCTCGATCGATCGAGTATTATGAGAAGCTTGAATTGTGAGGTAAGTAGCGACCGCGTGCGGGCCATATGATTGCCTTAACATAGTTTATCTAAAAAGCGGTACATAGGACAATCGATTCTAGAGGACACTAATCGTAACTATAACGCGCGGGTCATCGTCCAGGAAGAACAGCACTAAGTGATCTTAAAATAGAAGAAATTTCTTTCATTAGGACGAGAAGTTCAACGTCCCTCTTGCAAAATGATTCTATTCTAATAATTAAATTGTAGAAAATGGCTGAAACAAATAACTCTTTAATCAAAAATACCGATGAAATACAATTCCTTTCGAGAAGTCGATTCTAACAGCAATGTTTGTGATGAAGTTGGAGAAACCGAGTGTAAATGTTCATTACAAGAATTGATACAAAGGTTAGAAATTACGATAAAATTGTCGAAATATTTAGAAACATGTACAAATTTTATTTTTATATCGATGCCAACAGAATGAAGAATTTTTTTCTTTTAATTATGATTTTAACATCAATCTTGCATTTATTTCAACCTTCCTTCCCAAATAACGATTCATTCGTGTCAACTCACCGTGTCGAATGCTCAAAGGGCTGGTAGGACTTCTCGGATGCTCCGGGGGTGGTTCATTCTGCGGTTGTTGATGCTGATGCTGGTGTTCCTCCGAAGTAGTGACCGGCGTTGTCCCATTCATGGTGTATCAACGAACATTCCTCGTTATATAAAAGGCAATATACTGCAACATATCACAGTACCTTACCGTTATTATACTGCATCAATAAAATATCAAATCTAACAGGACTCCACGTCATACTTCATATTCCAAATCTTCCTCACCTAGTTACAAGACCGTTACAACCAATTTCACTCTTGGTCCAATTTCACTCACGCACAGTGTCCAATCGTCGTGATACTATTCCAAGTATTACCAAACTTTTCGCACTGATTTTGCCAAACGTCGAGTCGTTCGTCCTGCGAAACGTTCAACGAAACACTGATTCATCCCGACGGTACGCAAGAAACCAACCCCCCCCTCAAAATTCGAATACGCGTCAGCACGTATTCTCAGAGGTACAGATCGGTTCGACAGATTCTTGGGAACTGCGATGGAGCCCGCGTCGGCTCGAGTAACGACGACAACGACGACGACGACGACGACGACGACGACGACGACGACGACGATGGATGACGTCTCGAAGTCTTCGCGTCTCCCGGCGAAAGATCGACGGTTAGCTCGGCTCGATCGTCCCGTATCACCGGAGGTCGACGTGGTCGCTGGCTTTTGCAGAGGTGCCTCGACGCCGAGCGTCCCGCGTGCCAGGGGGCCACCGATTGGTCGGTTGGCACTTTTGAAGGCGGGATCAGGAGGCAACGCCGGAAAAACAACAAAAACGAGGAGCGGGAGGATTTAACCTATAGCCGGCACGTTTGACGCGGCGCTTCGCCCGACGACGCTCGCCGACGCCGCGCGTGCGCGCACCCCCTCGCGTCGGTTGACGCCTGGGCCAAAGCTCCAACCCTCCACCCTCTTCGTGCCAGCGTCACGAGACGACGCCTACCTTCGCCCCGTGAACGTCGTGCAATTGTTGATCGTTGGCTACGTGGTAGTGAAACCCCGTTCGTCGTCTCTTTCCGCTTCGCGTGCTTTGCTTTCTTTCTCCTAGCTGTGCACCCCCTTCTATCCGCGTTCCTCGCTGGAATCAGATCCATCCACTGTTGCAACGTGGTTTGTTAAAAGAATGCTCTTTGAGCGTGTTGACTCAGGTTGGCCGGAAGGTTGCCGGAAGTTCTTTATTGATTGATGAAATGAGGGGAGAGAGCGAGAGAGAGAGAGAGTGTGTGGTAGCGAAAGTTTGAATTTTCGAGATTACGAGGGACGACGATCGTTTAGTCAGTATTGGAAGAATATTTTCTCAAATCTGTGTATATTCTACATTATTCTGGATTGAATATTGATCGAGTATAGAATGATCCAATGCTACATTTCATCAAACCTACGTTTGTTTCACAATATTTTTACTACAATGAAACGACAATTCCAGATACGATGGAAGACAAAGAAATTTCAAGAAACAATAAATTTCTTTTAGCGTGTAATGCTGGAAGCCAGCAGGGGTGGCTCTGCTTGTCTTGCATTACCGCGACGTCGTCAAAGAGTCGCGCTCTGAAAAGACTAGTTAACGGAGCAATTAATCGTCCGATCGAACTTCCGATTCCTGAAGTGTTCCCCCGGACAAATCGAGCGAAATCCACTACCCGGCCGGTTTAGTGATGAACAGTCGCAGTGGCCTCGATAATAGCAGCCAAGTCGCCTACCTGCTAGCTAGATGTCGTTCATGGTGGTGGTGGTGGTGGTGGTGGTGGCGGCGGTGGTGATGGTGATGGTGGTGGTGAATTCAGTCGGTGGGGTTGCCAGGTCCGCCATGCTGGATTCCTACCGTCGAACGACCCTGTGGTTTTCCGGTAATCGTTGCCAGGGATGCAGCCAGGCATTCTCACCCCTCCAAACGAACCCTCGAGGAAACTGGAAACCACGCCCCATAGCTCGAAGGCGGACCAATGACGCCTGGACGTCGCGACGCTGCCGTCCACCAATAGGATTACCCTCTGATACGGTCTTTCGCTTGTCAATGACTGCTGCACGACCACCACCCTCGCCTACCTCTCGCTAGGGTGCTTTTCAATTTCGGGCCCGGCACCCTCATAAACGCAGCCAACCGCCCGTTCCACCCACCCCAACACACATTCGACCGCTTCGATAGCCGGCCACGTACACCACGCCGCGGTGAGCCAGTGTGTCGACCGACGCTTTTGCCGAGCTTTCAGGGACGGACACAAAGGGGGTGATTAAAAAAGACGCCTCTGGTGACGATTCCACCAGCGGTAAGAAGTATCGTGAATCGAAGGTGAGACGCGGGAGAGGAGATTGTCATCCGAACGAGCAACGGATAATTGGAACGGATGAAAAGGATTTTGAAGGGAGGAGGGGGAATTGAGATAGGGAGAACATTTGTGGATATCTACACTTTCGTACAGTTACTCTTATTCAATTTGACCTTTTCCAGCTGTCCTGCTGATTGCTACAGCTGCGACGAGTTTCTGAAAATTTTCACGACATTTGGCTACATTTCTATTAGATTTCTATAATCGTTTGTTAACTGGAATGTTGAATAAAAGTTAGAAACTCTTTTTAAGAAATTCAAGGATGAAATTTACTATCCTACCTGCGATACGTCTTTCAATGAAAAATTGGATCCACATTCGTCCATGTCTGATTATATTTAAATTGAATGACGCTGTCTAAATTAAATTCATTACTAGTATTTGAAATGTCATTCTACTTTGCAAAAATTAACTTTGCCATTGTCTCTGTTTATCCGTGGCAGAGGCAAAATTTCGTTTTGTCAGTTAGACACCGAGATTGACGAAGGATTCACATGCAGATAGATGCCACGTAAAGTACACAAGTGTTTATGAATATATGTATATCACAACAAGAGAATCATGTGCACGCACATACGAACGCTTGGTACGAGGGTGAGAGATTGTTGGGTCTTCGAACAGAGAGATGTTTCACGTGTACGTACGCTCATAAATAGAAGCAACCATCCATCTACTGATTAAAACGAGCGGAAACACATACAGGGAGATGAATAAATACGGACGAGCATTGAGAGTGCGTGTGCCCGTCAGGAACATTTTTCGTGTGTGGAAAAATACGCGGTCGACGGTTAGTTTGCCAATTATTTCGGACAGTTAGTTTGCCAATCATACATGTTTATTCGTGGAATTACGAGGAAATATAAGTTAGAGTCCTGTGTAAACGCATTTGAACCACAATTAAAAATGAAAAATATTCCCGACTACAGAGATGTCTTTTCGTTGTAGGTATTCCCCAAATGAAAGATAGCAAAGTTTAATACATAATTTTTATTTCAAAGCGATTCGCCCTGACGCATCCATACTGTCATTTTATTCAAGCAGAATTGAATAAAATTAAATTAGCCGAAGGATTACTTTAATTAAGGTTTATTACAACAACGTTCAAATAGATCGACGAATGTTCACCATGTACAAAAGGAATCACGTTTTCTGCATAAATTCTCCTTTTTTTTTTTCGTTACATTAACAGTCAGATCTTCTAACTATAGTACGTCCATTACTAGTGCTTAACACCTATGTTACATCTAGCCAAATAAAAAAATCTTCGGTCTAAAAGTACGATAAAAATCTTTCCTATACGACAGATCAGTCTTACTTCATGTACAAAAAGTCTTTGCGTCCCGCAGGCATCGTATAAAATACTTTTAATACGAAATCTAGTAGCCTTTGCGGCTACTGTTCAGTAGCAGTCGTTTCGAAACCTGGGAAATTCACTAGAACATTGTCGATTACTTGGCAGGCCCTTTCGAATACGATCATCGTTTCAGGCTCGGCGTCAATCACCACCACCAACGTGCCATAATATTTCACTAACGGCTTGTTTCGTTTGTGAAAGTCCTTGATCTGAGCTTTAATGTTCTCAAAGTTCGTCGAAAATCTCTCGGTCGCTTTCACGCTTCTCGCCATCATCCGGTCGCTCATCACGGAGTTTCGAACGTTCAGCATCAGGACGAGATCAGGCGGTCGCACCTCTTTGTCGAATAACTTCCCCTGGCATTTCTCCCGGGGAAATCCGCTCACGATGAACCCTTTCTTGTTCAAATGTTCGAGCATCTCAATCGCTATCAATTCCACCAGCACGTTCGACGGCACCAGTTGACCCCTCGACACTAAACGCGCCAACGTCAACGCCTTTTCCGTACGCTTGGTCATTTCGTGCTGGATCACGTCCGTGTATATTATGTCGTGGAAACCGTACTTCTTCGCCACTTCAGTGCACAGTGTTCCTGAAACAAGCAGTCATCGAGTTATCGAGAGTTGAGAGTAACTTCTGTTGCAGAATATTTCAGGAAGGAACTTCCTATTCCTTGGGAAAAGTTTCGCAGTTCGGAAGGAATAATTGGAAATATTATAATGAAGATTGGCGAAAGGTCATTTATTTCACGTATCCTTACTATATTTTTAGTCGATACTTCTCTGAATGTTTCTGTCGAAAGAATTTTCTATTGCCCTCGATAAAAATCTTCCTCCTTTCAATTGAAAAACTTGTTAATTTAAAAAATTTTAATTTTCCAAGTAGATCCAGCTATTGAAATTTTGGTAAGTTCAAGTTTTGAACTTTGCGACACATTCGTATCGTTTGTACAATCAGAAATTAACCAAACTGTCAATGTTATTAGGTTATGAGATAGCCAAAAGGAAATTTTAAACAGTGATATAAATAAAATCAATAACTTTTTCCAACTCCTGGTCCACCAATGACGAAGATGATCGGCAATCCCGACTCTCTAATCGCCTTGGTGTCGACATTGACCCCTCTCGGAAGGGATGCAAGTAAGGGATCGCTAGGCTTTATACAATTGCCCATTGAACTGATCGTTCAAGATTTTCTTTCAATTTTCGTCTATGGCCAAAAACGAAATATCTACATTTAACTATATTTCCTATTCGCGTTATGTAACTTAGAAATATTCCGCTTTTTTTCTTTGGAATCACGTTCTGTTCATTATGAAGTTTGTCTCGAACTACTGACAATACAAAGCTCGAGTTCTTTCAGCATTGTCGAAGATTGATACACGATTAATTTCTTTTTTCTGCAACAAAATTATTATCTTTTCTGCAGTAAAATTAATGTATGATGTATAATAATTTTTATAATCGTTTTAAATGGAAAGGAAGGCTGATTTTATTTCTTCCGAGTATAGCAGGATTCCTTCTTCATCGGTTACCGGTACACAGACGAATCTGTGCTTTCGAAGTTTTCACGAAAAAATCAATATCGTGCGCAATAATTATTTCTGCATAATGTATAAATATTCTGATTAAAATTTATGATATTTCTGCATCGACTGTTATATCGAAATTATTATATAAAATTCAATAGAGTGCCTGAATCATATTAAAATTCCTACATTTCTGGTGGTAGATAAAATTAATCATCAGTGTGCTCATTTGTTGGTAAAATATAACCATTGACCATTGACTAACTATATTGACTAACTAGGATAGACCGCACAACTAATGCTTTTTCGCGTCCCATGTGCTTAAGCATAGAGAGCGCTAAAATCCTAGTGATATTTTTCTTGATCGGTATTTCAGATTCTGAAAGTTAAATATTTCAGACACAAAGTTCTATTTAATGTTTTTTCAATTTTTAATTGTTGATAACAATTATAATACAAGCAAAAATCAATGAACACTGTTGCTACTGCAAATTAGAGGAATGTTAAATTTCGCTTGCATACACTCTTACTTCCATTCATCATTGTAATAATTGAATTTATAAATTTCCGAATTTATAAATCGAAAAACTATCTACTATTAATTTTAGCGTCACAACAATCAGGCGAAATTCTTTACAATAGTGGTAATAAATACCTTTCCTATGCCATTATTAATAACATTCTTTGTGTCTTGTAATTTTTAATTGCCCAAAATAAATATCCAACATTCATCCTAGAAAAATGCAATATTCTACGAGAGTTTGCAAGAAAAAGTTTAGCTTGCCGATCTTCAAATGGCAGATAAGACATTTGAATCGAGGAAGGAAGTTCAGGAAAGCGAATGAACGCGCGGTTCGTTCAAAGTAAAACGATCGAATGTCCAAGGCTTTATCCGAGGTGTTGCCGCAAAACATACGTTACATAAATGTCACATACTTGGACGTACGACGCAACGTGCACGCATTCGTGATGTATCCACGAAGTCAGTTCTTCGTGGTAGGCCAAAATTAGCAATTTGAACCACTGTCCTGTTCATAAAATGAAGTTAAGAAATCGCGAGCCATCCTATTCACAGGATCACGATTTCCTTGTAAAATAAAAGTATGCACACACGCGGATTTTATGCCAACTTTCCAGGCAGCAAAAACGGCGTTATTAAGAAGCGAAACGCTCAGGATAAAATTATCACGGAATTACACAACTAGTGAAAAATTACATGCATGTCAGCTACGAAAAATATTCGAAGGTCGCCGGGTATTTTTAAATTAAATAACTCTGTTTCTATTAAATTTATATTCTAGAAACGATGAGGATGACAAAAAGATTATACTATGAAGATCTCAATTTTTTGCTTTAAAGTACATATATAAGCAAATTTTTAAATGAGATTGAATATTACACACAAATGTTACACACAGTTCAAAATTTTTCGGATGAAGAAGCACTATATTTTCTCTCAAAATTTTAAAAATGAAGAACTTCAAACAACAGTATTAATATAATAACAATAATATTCTAAAATATAGGTATAATTTCAAAATTTTACAATCTACGATAAATACAGAATATTAAAATTAAAAACTGTCTCAGAAAATTTTTCCTTTTACCAGACCAAAAGGTGCTCAATTCGTAAAAGGGACAAACAGTCATATTTCCCACGATTTTCACAATTTTATTGGCCGGGCAGAGGTTAAAAAGCCAAAGCGTATTCCGCTTTTCTATCGCTCGACAGATAAACAACATGTCGTTCAACACACGAGCGTATATCTGTCTCGATGGAAAGATGTATCTACTACATTTTGCAAACTACACTCTAGTTGTACACGTGTACCGCGTAACAGATATCTGTAAACTATCGATAACATTAATCTTCGCGGAGTACAATGCGATTTTGAATACAATCAGACCACGACGGTATCTGTTCGCTCTGCCTTATCACCCTTTATAATTTGCAAATTCGCGACGTCCGGGTGAGAGGCCAAGATACCCATGCTCTCCATCTGTTACCGGTGCAATAAACTACGAACTATATACAACTGTGTATCGCTTTTCGAGATACAACGTACAGTCGAGATTGCGGATTCTCGCAGTACTCGATGGCCACAGGGAGCACAGGACGATTGTATCTATCGATAAAACGATGCAAATGTGTATAACTATACACTATCGTTTGGAAGTGCTTGAATTTCTTCTGCAATTCGATTAGGAGATAAAGTTGGAATTGAATCAGTTTTCGAACTGGTATTGTTAGCTTGTTTGGATTGGAAATGTGAGATATTTAATCTTGATACGCTCTCTAGTTTCTCAAATCTAAAATATTTCAGACTCTGATTAAAATCAGAGAATCTTGAAATTAAATTATAATTATTTTAATTATCTGTGGTCCGAGAATATCTGTTAAATTTTAACTGTGAACTAAGAAGTGTGAATCATCTGTGGTGAATAATTAATATTTTTAGAAATCTATAGAAACTGTCAGAATATAGCTAGAAATATAGAAATATAGTATTGTATAGATAATTTGATTTAAACTTGATTTGATTTATTTAAAAATTGATAAATTTTACCAATGTGTTGTGTTTCATTGTTAGACTGCTGATATTTCTGAAATGTGATTCAAGAAATAAAATGTACACAGAAAATTGTTTTTCTACAAAGTATCACAATTCTACATTTCGAATATTTTATAACGTACTATATATATTTAAACATAATTACACAGTGAATAGTATATTCTATCCACTTTTCTATCTTCAAAATTTCTTGAAACGAGTGCCTAAAAATTTTTACAACTTCTACATTCTGCAACGTCTAATTAATTTCAAAATGCTTTGTATAACATAACGTAACATAAAAGTATTTTTCATGAACAGTGTTCTTACTTTCGTGAGACACCATACTTACGCAGCATAACGCAGAGAATTTACAAAAAGGAAGTCGTATATTTAATCAATTAGACGGATTAACAGAATACGATCGTACGCATACGCACGTTGAATTCATATTCTTTCCAAGGGATTAAGTCTATTAATATGGTGATTACCATGACTCGTTCCACAAGCCACGCTTAACATCGAATAATTTTTAACCATTATCCAGTGATAAATTATGGACAGTTATGGAAAATGGACACGAAAAATCGTGTTTATCATTAGAATGCCAGTTCACGAGCAGTAACCACATATATACCCGCCGTAGACATGAATGGACTACGGTTAGAGATTAGAAGGCACGAATGCCAGAGATTAACGTTGAAATAGGTTGTAATTAAAGATACAGAATTTAAAATCGTCTTCTGGCTGCTTTGGTAAAACCGTTTCTGTGTATCCAGAGAGGAAATTGATAAGTAGGTGGAGTAGAAAATTGCCCGTTAGCGAGATAATAATAATTTTTCTACGAAACGCAGGGTCAGTTTTTTTTTTTTTTCTTTATCGGTCGTTGGAAATTTTTATAATTCACTCAAGTACACTACTGATTAAAACACACTTTCAATTTCGTAAACCCTTTGTATTTAACATCGATGAGATTAATAACGCGCAAATTGGCATTTAGCTTTCTCCTCAACGATGAAAATAGGAAAGGGAAGAAGGGTGATGTATAAATAAGTTCCAAGATATTTATAATCTGTCACTTTTAGTTTCAGAAAATCTTCACTGCAGAGAAGAGACTGCACGTTGGTCGTATTAAATTAATATTTCTTTTCCGGAAATAAGATTTGAACGTGGAAATCATTCGTTAATTATTATTTTACTATATTATATATAGTTACTATATTTATATATTATAATATTTATTACATTTACTATATTATATAATTTATTTTACTTATCTTACTATTATTTTACTATAATTATTTCAATATTAGTAAATTTTACTTGTAAGAACTTGGTAGAAAATTGTTTCTGTCACTAAATATCGTAAGGTACTACATTTCTTACATATCTAACATATTTTTGCATATTAGGTTGCATCTCCAAATTTTCTATACGTGCATAAAAATCCGCAGTTTAACAGTTATACTTCAAGATTCAGAAACGCCAGAATTTTGAGTCGCATGGTAAAGT